GGAAAAGGCGAGAAATTGAAAGAAGAAATACTAGCTCATGAAAGAGCGGCGGTCCTAGAAAACTGCCCACATTTTTACTCAGTGAATTTTCCCCGGCAACAGGCAATAATATACTCGTCCTTTCTTGCCTCGGTCGAGCCGCAGTTTGCGGAGTTCGGACCCAGATCGGGCTTTAATGCTCTTTTGATCGTCTGCAAACAGAATTCCCACGTCTCGGTCGACGGAACGTGCAGGGGAGACTTTAATTAAAATCCCGAGCGGCGGTGGAAGGTTTTTTCGGGTTTTTTTTCTTCGGCATATCGCTGTCGCGTTGCTGGCGAACTCTTCAGATTCAAGTTTTGTTATTTCGTCCCGGCACACAATGTCTGGGAGTTTTAAGAGGCAGCAGTTTCTTGAGTGTCCGTTTTCGGTCTTTTTGTTTTTCTTTGTTAAGATGCCTGGCCATATTCAACCGTGAACTATTCATGTTGCACCACTTCCGAACATTTAAACGAAATCGAAGATCATTTTTTGTAAAGTCACGATTTCTCTCAATGAAAGGAATGATATGTATTTCCAAAACATTTCTCCAAACTGTTTCGCTGAATTGTACTGTCGGAACCTTAGTTTTATTTTGAAAGTCGGACACACATTGCGAGCCTTGAACGTTCATTCATGCAGCATGAACGTTCATTCATGCAGCACGAGCCACGTTCACATTTCTTTGGGCTTTCAACACTTTTGTTCTTTCACATAGAAACAGACTCCACATGTTGTCATTTCACAAGTCCCAAGTTCTTGCATATTATGTTTATTATGTTAATTAAGTGAGACCCAAAATTAAAGTGTGGTTGTTTGTTGAATTCAGTTTTAAAAAAGCATGCATGGCTCATTTCATATGTACAGGAACAGCAACGTGCAAGCATGTAAGAGAATGCCTTTAAAAAGAACTGTGAATATAGCCTAGATGCTGGTTTCTAGAAAACGTGAACATAAAACATCAGCTGCATTATATCTTATTTTGGATTATTATAAGATATCTTATTTTGGATTGATGAAGAGCCTGAAACTACGACTCGACGTTTCTTAAATCAAAAGTAGCAATACAGAAGTATAACTATACCATCTCTATACCAAACCCACTTATGTCGAGTCGAGTAACAATTCGACCGAAAACAGTGACAAAACGGTTGTGTTAGCGAGACAGACTGTCTTGCAGCGCCCCATTAGCGTTAATTTGAAGTCTCGTATATATTTGCATCGCAAGGTGTTAATCTCGCGACCCTGAAATTTATGTAGCGATTACATGTTCACCGGTCCCCGCTGATCCACACAACACTCACATGGCCCGTTATCAAATGCACGGGTATTACTGGCAATTAAGTGATTACACTAAGACAGGGATAGGGTCGGCTCGCTTTGATGCAAGGTGGCCCGATCAATTTGGACAATCAGTCGAGGGGACTAGTGATGGATTTACGCCGATAGCCCGTGGGTGATATGATACGTAAGCCAACTGACCTGCAGCGCGGACTGCAGCCTTGCTTCGTGTGGCTCTGCTAGCCCTGATGCCCTCTGGCCGGAGACCAATGGCCAACCCCCTTCCTTCCCGTCCCGTACCAATGAATTAAATGACCGCTGGCTATCGAACCGGTGACTAAACAATCCAGATTGGAAAATCTGTGTTCCGATCTGTCGTTCTTTGTGAATTATGACGGTGTTGTATTGTTCGTTTTATTGATTTCATCCTCGTTTTTTCCGGCAAGGAATGACGACACAATTTGTATTGATTCGAGCAATGATAAAAACAGAACACAACAATCATCCACTAAATCGTTCTAATATTGCACATTTTCTGTCTTGGCTGATTTTAATCTATACCCTGGTAGATGGACAAACTGAGGAAATGTTTAGATTGTTTTGAGTTTTTCGTCTTTAAATATACTTCCATATCGATCAAAGAGGAACGTTTTTTCCCGTAGCCCGATACAACTTCGAAGTCTACATGTATAGGTACATCATTGCCGGCGATCTTAAACTCATCCAGCCATGTTGGTCTTGTACCCTTCCTCCGCATGAAAAACGCATGATATTATAAATTCCACAGACAAGGCACAGACCAATATTGAAAATGGCGCCTTTGGTATTTTTATGACAAAAGGCCCTGATTATTATTCGTATAAAATTAGAAACAACAAATCTCTAGTCCACTTTGCTTGACATCTTGGTAAACAATTGAACAATGATATGCTTTTTTCATGTCTGTGCATTATGTGATGTTTTCTACATTAAAACAAAGTTATTCTTGTCCTTTATTTTATTATTGTCCATTCATAAATTACTCACCCATGTTTTCTTAGAAATGCGAAAAAATCGGCACAGAATACATTGCAAACGATTGCAGTCTTTGGGGATCCGCAGGTTAACGACCAAACTATCAGTGGACTTCCAAACAAAGGGATTAAAAGTGCGCTAACTAATTTTTAATTCAATATTAGTTACATCATGCCGCGTGATTTGCGGCCGCACTATCATGCTCGCCATATCACAGTACCTAGCAACACTGCCGCACCGTCAACGAATTAAACGATTACAGGAAATTACAGATAAAGGTTGACTTAATAATTGATGATACTGGCTGTATATACTAGGCGCTGATTTGTCCGGTCAGTCACGCTGCCAGTTCAATCATGATCATTCGTTGCGGTTGCAAACCGGGAATGTATATGTAATTTTCTCATCCTTAAAAGGTCACTATTTGTCTCTCTTTAGAAGGAGTTTGTTGTGTTTCGACCCAAGATGTGCAAGATGGTGCATGTGAACCTGTCTAAGGACAATCTACAAGAAGATGACAATATGTATATGTAATTTTCTCACTCTTAAGAATTCACTATTTGTCTCTCTTTAGAAGGAGTTTGTTGTGTTTCGACCCCAAGATGTGTAAGATGGTGCATGTAAAACTGTCTAAGGACAATCTACAAGAAGATGGCAATATGTATATGCTATTTTCTCATCCTTAAAAATTCACTATTTGTCTCTCTTTTCTTCAGAAGGAGTTGTGCTGTGTTTCGTCACAGAGATGTGCAAGATGGTGTATGTGCAACTGTCTCCCCCCCCCCCGTTTAGTTTCATTATGAGAGGAAAACAGGTTAACAAATGTACCACCATTTTAAAAGGCTTGTGAGCATAATTTTAAACACTTAATTATACAATGCAAATAAAGAACTCCAAATTCTCTTTAATTAATCACAGAATTAGCTCCTTAAAGAACTGTGTTTTCCTTTGTCGACATGCCCGATACAATATCTCCACCGGTACTAGGAGTTTAGTTTCGCAAAGTTGACCTGATCTCATTTTCAGATTCAGTCTTGAGTCAAAATAGGTCATCCGTGTATTTCCACCCCTCCCCCCCCCCCCAAAAAAAAGAAGCCGTAAAATTGCCTTGTTGCAAGTCCTCACCGACTCTCACTTTAGCCTACTTTTGTGCCAGAATTAGATCTGTCGTCGTGCTTTCAATCTGAAGAGCAAACTAGCGTCCGAGAGCAATATATACCCCAAGTTTCCCCCATGTCCCCCCCCCCCCCCCCCCCCCCCCCCACTGCCTATCACAACCCATCGCAAGGAGATGGATTATCGCTGATTATTAGGAAGCCTTTTACCACCTACCGGTCGATGTTCATAATTTGCCGGTCGACTGGTCCGACCGGCCGGCCAGTTTCTTCCAATCTCTCAACTCCGGTTGGCCGGGAGGGGCTTTGCCGCGCGCGCCTGCCGGTTGTGGGGGGTCTGGAGCGCGCGCGCGAGGGTATGAAATGAATACTAATTGGATAGAGTCATCATCTTTATGGGCATCGTGTGCGTGCCTGCCATATTGTGTTGCCGTTTTGTCCATTCATGACTTTCTATTCGTTTCAACGTATTCAAATGACAGCCCGCGTATGACAGGATTTTTTAATAAACACTGAAGAACAGGGCCAGCCGCATGAGGGCGGTGTTTCGGTCGGATCGTCTGCCAAGTTTCTTTAAACAAATAATTTTCCATTGTCACGTCACACAAAATATAACGCATCCACGGTTCACTGTCGATTTCTTTTCTATAAGGAGATATTTTATGAACACAAAAGCTTGCACCTAAAAGAACACTTCTAATCAATTGCATTCTTGTGATCACTTTTCCAACTGGAATGTATTTATTGAATTTGAAAATTAAATTCTGGGTGTGAATAACAGTAAACACTTTAAAAAGATTCTTATTTCTTAAATTAATATCCAAGTCAAATACTAATGCTCAAAACATATGACTGTTGTTTCCGTCCAATGCTTCAAAAGAATATATACATTATTTGTAATCAAGAAATCTTTTATAAAAATCAATCAATTACAAAAAAAAAACATTTCAGATGTTGTCCAATATTGCGAAATAATGCTTCTTTTAAATTAATGATATCTAATACGTCAAACGGTACAAAATGAGACGTCCAAAAAGTTCAGCATTTCTGCAAAATGTTTGGCCCTGCTAGATTTATTTTACTAGATGTTTATAGAAAAGTCATGATAAACGAATCAAGACCTTGCAGAGAAGTTTTTGATGACTCGGATTGCCAATAAAGATAATATGCTTCTTTAATGAAACAGCAGTTGCTGAAGAAGTCTCAAAAACTGCTCTATAAATTTAAGTTTTATTGGAAGTATTGGATACAGGGCGCGTGAGGTATGCTCAGATTTTCCTGGATAACGGTGCCAAAGTCCCCAAACTTGATTTGATGTATCTTGTTGAGAGCGACCTCTACTCGTATAGTAATCGGACCGGCTGCATTAAAGAAACAAAGGACACTTCTTCCAAGATTACTTCAAGACTAGACACTCAATATGCTGAAGTCAATGCCTGGTAGCTAGACTTTACCTCCGCGTCACCATTTTCACCATCGCAAACTGCTCAATCTCTCGAATGTGTTTTGTTGGTATAGGGCCATGGTGATTTCGAGTTTTCACAGATTGAAGTTTGTCTCCGATGGAGGGGTTTACTTCGGTTCCTCGTGAACTTCAGCGACCACCACCTCGGTAGTCACGGTTGTATCGGCGCGCCGATCCCCGTTAGTTGGCTTGTGGCCGTTCGGCATTATCTCCATCCCCGGAGATTCTGGAATCTCTCCGTTAACTTCACCGTTTCCGTTCTCATCCGGAACTTCCCCTTGTGGTTTCTTGCGGGACGCCCTCTTGTGGTACCGCTTCGGCTTCTCGGCTTTTTTCGGGTAGAGTTCGTGTGCTGCTTCGAAAAAATCGTCGGTAATGTCCAGATCTAGCAATCGGTCCTGTAATTACAAACAAAAGAAACCTTTTAACCCAATGAATTCACTGTATACCAGTCCCATATTTCCAGAAAGCACTTGGCCAGAGACGTGATTAGAGCGCCACCAGGCGATATAAATCAGCAATACTCAAACGGTGAATATATTTCAAAAACTGAACAAATTTAAATGATTTTGTTCCAATCTTTTCCGTTGGATGAATTATGTTTCTAAAATTAGGCATTACCTAGAATAAATTACATAGATAAGTACATGCATTAATATTAAATTTAATACTATAGAAATATTATGAATGATTGCGTCTAAACGTCAAAATATAAATCTACGAAGCTGTCCCTGAATGTTCTAACGTTCGTCCATTGAAAGTTTTAAGTTCATATAAATAGTATATAAGAATGCGTCAGTAATCTTTTATGAGGTGTGTTGTGTCACCTCTTACCAGTATGACTGCATAGCGATGTCTCTGTGTCGGTGCATCACCAAAGATTGACGTCTCGTTCACCAGCTTATCGTGCAGGTTGTACGCCCTCACCGACGTGTTGGGAGAGGCGGTTCTTGTGACGGAGCTCACGGCCAGTAGTTTATGCTGCTCGTCGGCAAAACCTGAAAGTAATATTACAACAGACAATAATAATCATACTCTTACTTCCAAAGAGTGAAAATTCGCCAGCCTAATGCTGCCATTTCGGCGCAAAGCAGCTATAATCAATCACAATAACCATCTCTGCCCTCACAGGTACCCAATTTACTTCTGGGTCGGGAGACGCAATGAGTGACAAAAGTGCTTTGCCAAGGGCACACGCACCATAACCCCAGGCTGGACTTGAACCCACAACCTGCAAATCTACCCGCAGACCAGGATTTCAATGCTCCAGACCTTGAGGCCACGGCACTCAATCCACGGCACTCCTTCTCACAATACAGTGAAATTATCCAGTTTTCACTCGTGTTTCCCCTACAGTGAGTCTTTTTCAAAAGATTTTTTTAAATCTAAAATTAGAGTGATTTTCACTCTAAATCATCTGTCTGATATTTTCACTCATTTTGCTGGCTTTGAGAAAAAGCAGTTTATATCCGCGCTTTATTTAAGCAAAAGAAATCAGCAAAACAAGCCCCAGGGATTTCATGGAGTTTTGTTTTCTGACAAAAAGTGTCTGAGAAGATGAGCAAATTCCTCCACTTCGCATCACCATTGATTGCTGAATTCAACTCACCTAATTCGCTCAGCACTCTTTTCCATCTGTCCTGAACTTTCTTTCGAACCTTCCGAATTTCTTCTACCTTTTGATGCAATAACATCTCCTCCTGTTGGTAAAAATATAATATTTGTACAAGAAATGTAAGTCTCAGAATTGAATCTCAACGTGTGGGCATAATAAACGCGGCTTGAAACTTCTCGTCCGGGAAGGGGCATCGCTAGGCGTAAGCACCCCCCCCCCCAACACCACCAGTAGTCGTCGTTTCTGTCGACGAAATCCTGGGACTTTAGGCAAGAAAGCACGGACGTCATATTAAAAAAACACACAAGCCGCAATAGATAACGCCGTCTAGTGTCAGATGGTTTCCCATCGCATCCATTTGAACAGCGTCCACATATGTTAGATGATGGCCAACACTTCATTCAGCTTCGTCGTTGATTTAAACAAATATGATTTTAGCATTGTGTGTAAACAAGGAAAGTACTCACAACAAAACAAATTCTCAATTGGGAAATAAATATTCTTGGGGCACAGACCTTCGCCAATGGCATAAATCAAGCATGAGTGCTGAAATATAAATTACGGGAATTGTGTTTTATTAACTTTTATTAAACAACGTGTGGAAGATTTTAAGGTAATGGACCAATTTTATTTAAGATGATTATGACGTCACCTCTCTGGAAACTGCTCTTCGCCTCCTGTCGAGCAGCTCGGCAAGTTGCCTGTCATCCTCTGAGATCACGTGATTGACGTCATCAGGATTGGTCCAGAGGTTGAGGTCATCTGTGGCTGACCTCCGTGATGCTATGACGCCATCGACAAGGGCACCGCCCTCGTTTCTAAGCAACCATACGAAAATTTAGTTATTTTGTTTTGTTTTTCATTCAACATTATTTTATAACCTCGATCCAACACTCATGACCAGATGTCTTGGTGCTCAAATCGTGAGGTGACAGTTTTACAGTTCTGGGTTTTACCTTGAAAGTTTTTTTTCTGGTTTTTTTTTTGGGGGGGGTGGGGATGTCTGTTTGTTTACGATTGTAAGATGGGAGTAAAGCTTAGCTAGCTGAGTATAATGATAACATAATAATATATCACTGTCACTGACAATATAATATATATTTTTTGCCAAACTGACGATGTCATGATATTGTAAATTTTTTTATGAAACTCTAGGCTCTTTTCATCAAATTAGCAATGACGTTATTTGGTTGGTTTCCACTATAGCTCACCTTACGAGAGGCGACTTCTCTGCGCTTGGCTCATCTAGGCCATCGTAGTTGTTGTCTCTTCTACAGCAGAATGACATGATTTCCTGTTCAACAGATACTGAAACTCTACGACTGTTTAACACAAATGGATATGCAGTTCATCATTCAAGCTGAAAGAGAGATCATTGAATTCACGTTGTCCAAAAATCCATTGGCTTGAACTTCCTCTGTGCGGTATATGCCACTTCCTCATCCAACACGGCGAACAGCTACATTTACGATGAAACAATCTCTACAGTCATGACAACTACAACTTCACCCAAACAGGGTAAACTATCGAAAAACTCTTCTTAATGACACGAGGAAATGAAGCAAAGAAGGCGTGTAGGCCGATATACTAGTAGATGGCTGGTGTTTCAATCGTCCCGTGATAATTTTCTGCCCAAGTTGAACCTTATAATAGCGCGTACATACAGTGAGATCCAAGTCCAGGTTAAAGTTACACATAATGCACTGTGTACGTACTTTCTGTATCGTTATCATATTAATTGGTCAGGTCACATGTACACATCGCAAGAGCCGAGTCGTCTGTACAGCTTCTGAATGCTGGTTGAGCTTCCTGCGGATCAAAGGTTCAGGGATCAAATATTTTGCTTATCGCAACTTTAAACAATTAGTCTACAGACTGATCAGCCACTATCGCAAAGCTAAAGTGAGATAGTCGTTCAGAAGGCTCAAAATGGGTCAAATGAATATTCGAGAGGCCGTTTATATAGCCTTGAATAGCCATTTTTAGCTAGACCATTTCAAAGTGCGAGAAGCTGTTTGATACGGCAGTCGGGGTTTATGGGGGCGCTCTTCGGGTCTTTATCCGACGATTAGAGCTGACTGACCTGTGAATTCGAGCATTTGGTGAACTCGCGGTTTGGGCGGTAGAGGGCGTACGTTATAATATGCAAACGTAGTAGACCGTAAATACTGTACAGTCGTGAGAGCACAAAATTAATAAATGAGTTGGGATCGATTGAGCCCTTAGCCAATCATTTAAGTCTTGAAATTTCACAGCTTAAAACTAATACCATAGTGACTTGAGTTGCCAGTGCGTCATTGTTGAGCATTGTTCAACTTTGAACCCTTTCAAGGTGAAATACATCACCGACCACCAGTGGCGTAGCCAGGAATTTTTCAGTCGGGGGGGGGGGGGGGCTGGAACATTTCATGGGGGGGGCGTCATGTAGAGCAATGATACATTTTTTTAGAAACTCAAAATCTCAGTGGGGGGTGACTACGGGGGCGACAAGGTTTCATGGGGGGGCTGCGCCCCCCACGCCCCCCCCCCCCCCCCCCCCGTGGCTACGCCACTGCCGACCACGAACAGTAAATACTCCAAGGAAAATCTTTCTAGGTATTCGTTTGGTCAATTATTTTAATGAAAATGGGTTTATAATGATTTCTGTTCTCAAAATGTTCCAACGCCAGGAAACTCTAAATCGTACGGACTCATTTCTTTTCTTCCAAAGTCTATGCTCTCTACAATATTGGTACGGATATATTGTGGGTCTTTGGTTTTCTTTTCGGTTTGAATTTGTCAGTGTTGTGAAAATGTTGTGGGTATTAAACTTGGTGTACGTCACCGGTTCGTTCCTCGTTGCATGATTATAAACCATAGTTCTGATTTGATCGCTCCTGCGAGTTGAGCCCCAGTTATGTACATCACTGCACCCACCCCAAGCCCCACCAGCAGCACCACCATGGATTCACACGCCCATCTTTGATACTTGACGAATTCTGAGCACATAGATTATCAACCACACCTTATCAGGTGGGGGTAAATATGCACAGTATTCGGTGTACTGTCGTCAAGGTGTAAAACGAACCAGCATCATAAAAAGGATTGTCGTTTTTAGAATGGGTATGGGAGCCCAAAGAGACAAATCACACAAAAATCTTTCCATTTGAAACATTGACCCATACAACTTAATCACAAAACTGGATATAGTTGCTGAAACTATTTTTTTGAAAACGCTCTCAAGTACAGACTGACTGAAAGGATTTTGTTTTTTCGATGTTCTTCCGATTTCCAGTGCTTAATTTCAAAGTTTCCCACTTTCAGCGGTATTGAAATTGTCAAACTCGTTCTTATTTAGAATATTGTTGGAAACTCATTAATCATCTCAATAATTGTGCATGTATTATTGCCCAAGCACCTGAGCGTCCTCTTTTTGAAATTTTCCCTTTTTATGTGTTTTTCGAACGATGTTTATTATTTGTTTCGTAGGCGTGCCATATTTCCAAGCGATTTCAGAATCCCCACCAACAATCTTACGTATTTGTTGCTGGTATCCTCTTTCCACAAAAGAACCGTGCGTCCATGGTAAAAAAAAATCCAATCAGGTCAATAGACATCGGGAATCCGACAATTCCGAACTGCAGTTCATCTCATCACTGACTGGCGGCGACGTGTGTTGGGATTCACTCGTGCAGACATGGCAATGTTCATGTGGATTGGTGCGATTTAGAATTTTCCTGTGTTTTTAAACATGCCGGCTGGTTACATGGAGGGAAGACGGAAATCCGAGTAAGTTTTTTTCTCCTTCTTAAAATGCGGATTTATACGGACTAAATTTAAAGTTTAGACGTGAATTACGGGGGAGTAAGATATCATACGGTAATTCTTCGGACTCCACAGTTTTAGGTAGATCCTCAGATTTTTTTTCAGAACACAAAAAAATGTCATGCATGCCTACTATAACGAAAAGATTAAATGCTACGCAAGCGACACAAAATTATTTGGGTAAAATAAAGATTTCCTGAAATGTTAGTTACATGGTGATAATACAAAGCAAACTGAAGGTCTGCCAAAAATGCGAACGATTCGGTGACGTACGATTTTCACAACTATTTGTCTTTGATTGGGAATGTTTTGTGCCTGCATTGATATTTTTCAACGATTTCAGGAATTTTCGTGACTAGTTTATTTGGAACCGTTCAGTATGATAAAAAAAAATTCAATAACGAACACACAGAATTGATTTTTAAATATTAACTCTCACCCTCTAAGGTGTCAAACAAATCATGGAAAGAATGTTGCAACCTGACGCTGCTTTGTTTTCTTCATATATCATCTCAATGAAGGTCACTCATTGCAAAAATGATGATAAGACATAAATCTGGGACTGAGAAACATTTCCAATTTTGTTAGGAAATACTTGACTCTTCATAGACTTTGTACACAACCGCTGAAGTGGCGTCAGGATGCAACAATCTTTCCTAATTTTGCCAATTTGTCATAACATAATCTCCCCCCCCCCCCAAACAAAAAGAGAACTGAGAAGTTCAATTTGTAATGCAATATTGTACAACTGAATGGCGGGCATAAGTGTGATGATTGGCAACACGCAAAAATGTATGGAAAGTTTTGCCAGTCAATCGAAGAGCAAGTTATTTTCCACCAAGAAACATTCAAATTTAGGTAACGGATCAAAATATTAATTAGCAAGTTTAATGTGATCTGTTTTATTAACTTTGAAAAGGTCCTGATTTCAGTGAGCTTCGTTGTTGGGGGGGGGGGGGGGGAGGGGGAAACAATCTGCAGATTTTCACCACCTCTCCCACGAATTTGTGTTTTAATGCAATATCTCTTCGGAAAGTCTGAATTCTGTAGTGTTTGATGGCTCGTGGGTTGGCCAAGCGATAAAACTCTTATATAATTACGATATAGGTGTTGACAAAGGGGCACGACTATTGACAAGCTATGCCCACTCCCTGCATTCACTTAGCAACTCCAAATACCAAAGGTCGTTCGCTGGATGAAGGCAATCGATGAGCCTACACGCTCCCGCCATTTACTTTTCAAAGCAAGCTTTGCTCGAATGTGGAAATTATCCACCTTGACGTTAAACCTTTTTAACAGCAAACTCGGGCACAATTTCAGGGCTATGTTAGAGGCCACGAGGGGAAGGGGTCGTTTGCAGTGGTTAAGAGCAAAACTAACATTGAAGGTGGTTGCAAAATAGTGTGCCCGCGCGAGCTGAAACTTAAACAGTAAAGGTACCGTAGTTTGAAATTTTAGCAATTTTGTGGCTTCAAACGAAAAACATGCACACAGAGCAAATTACTGATCAACGACAACCCCAGAGCCTAATTCCATTGCTATGCCAACCACAGAATTAGGCGCTCAAAATCGCAACTATGTGCTCAAAATGCAAGCGCAGACATAGTACTATGTAACCAACTTAATAACTGCACAGCCTAAGTTTGCCATATAATTCAACCTTGGGCACAATACTCACATACTCTAAAACATCAAAACATAGCTTGATTCGCCGCTCTTCACTTTCTGTACAATTTAAAGGGATAACCTATGGATTTTGGAAGATATCCTCTATGCAGAATAGAACGACTGTTTGTTTGAATTTACACAGTCCTTTTCAGAGCTGAGTCTTCGCTCGTATCCCCCCCCCCCACCCACCCTGCACCCTGTTTGCAGGACGGGGTACGAGATAAAGCTGAGCCATTCATCGTTGAAACACCTTCAGTTCATGACCACAACATAATATTATTCGAAAGGATTTCAATGTATGCGAATCGCGATTTGGACGTCATGGGTCATATGCTGCCTTTTCACTGGCCCGTGCAACCACAATTGAACTTGACAACGAAACATCAACAAAATGTATTCATTCAGGTTGCCAATTAGTGTGTGCGTTTTACATGTATGCCTGGTGTTGCTCTTCGACAGTATAGCGATTGAGTTTAATATTCCAGTTTGTTTCTTTTTGTCAGCATGCGGTACAAGTCAACGGGGCTGATGGTTCTTGTGGTGTTTCTGGTCTCCATGTATGTGTTAATTGCACGTAAGTCAATACAGAGAGATTTGTCTAAAACTTCCCATTACTCAACTGTTAATGATTTCCCATCCTCTCTCATTACTCCGAACAAAAACTTATCATTTTGATAAGTTGTAAGATCAAGACAAGTGTAATTATCATCTCGTCTACCCGTGTAACCATCAACATGGGTCCTCGGTAGGCGAAACCGGGTCCCAAAGAACACTGGTAGGCGTGGCGTACCATTCACACTAATAACCGGGTTGTACACGGGTCGGGTCTTTCAACCATTTCGCTGGACCCGTTGAATTCTTGCTATAGTGTGAAAGTGGTTCCTCAGGGTTCCACAACACGGAGACCTACAGTGATTTGGAATAGTTTGAAAGTATGATCAATTGGCCTAATCGTGGCACATAACACAGAGCTTTTGCGAAAATGGCTAGAAGTTATTTTTAAAATCTCATATTTTTTTTGTTTCTTTGTTCTTCAGTTTCAACCATGCAACACCACGTGACTTGCATACCCTCCTGGCAATCAGACGCCTACCAGCTCGACCGAAAGCTCCAGGTTGAGGTCACATACAAGGAGTCCGATAAGAAGCCGTTGGTCGGAGTCCAGGAAGCAGACCCGTCTAACAGCCATCGAGGAGCAAGACAAGCAGCTGGCCGGGGAGGTGATGCAGTGATGACGGCAAGACAGAACCAAAGCCAGCATGCTTGCACCGAAGCTGATATCAGTCGACGATCCGGTACAGTGGTGCTAACCACTACCAACACGGCATTCTTAGACATGACTGAGAACTGGCTAGCAAGCATCCGGCGAACCAAGACCTGCCCCAACATCACCGTAGTAGCTGAGGATCAGAAGGCATACCAGTATCTCTCCAATAGAAAGCTGGCCGGAGTGCATGTCCTACAAACCCAGTCTGGTCTCGCTTCGACGAACAAACTTGTCTTCAACACCAACGAGTACAAGAAGTTCGTCAACAAGCGACAGCGTTACATCTTGAAGTTCCTGGAGGGAGGCTGGGAGGTGCTGTTCACTGACGTGGACACCTTCTGGCTGAGAGATCCGTTCCCGTTTTTACGAGGAAACTTTGACCTGGCCATGGAGCAGGACAATTACCGCAAGGTGAAGCCGAATGATCGGAACTACTGCGCGGGGTTCGTTTACTTTCGGCCCACCGAACGCACTTTGAAATTCGTCCGGGAATGGATCCGGTACATGGCGGAGGACAAGAAGCTCAAACCCGACCAGGTCGTCATGAACCATCTGATCAGGACGAAGAAAGTCCCCCGGCTGCAAGTCCGGGTCCTCAATTGGGACCGGTTCCCGAACGGGAAGCTGTTCTTCAACGAGACGTGGCGGAGGGAGCGGAGTGATTTCGTGGTGGTTCATAACAACTGGATCGTTGGACACGACACTAAGGTGGAGCGGTTCCGGAATCTTAACATGTGGTTGGTGGACCCAGACATGAAATTCCCGCCATCTTGATTGTCACGAGGCCAGGTTCTCATTCAAAGCATTCCAACTCAAAGACCAAGGAGGGAAGAGTGCTTGTAATGAGTATGGAGGTCACTTTTGATAGTCGAACATGAGTATTATTTGCAGTTTAAATCACAAAGTAAATGCAAAACCAAACTTCAACCAAAGCTGAAAATTATTAAAATAATGTTGTATCATGTATGCAGAGAATTACGGTGTGGCGTCGATTCGGTTTGTCAGAATGTTCGACAATAATGACAGACGCCCTCTTGTGTTTTTAGTTTCCTCAAAATCAAGTCCTATATAATTTACACAGACGCCCCCAGCGTCACTGTGCACTCACAATGCCCCTTCAATGGAGTAACCATTGTGCAAGCAATTGTACAAAGCAATTGCCCCATGACGGATTATCTGAACAATAGCTAGCACAATGCTTTCGCCATTGAAGGGGGGCCTCCGTGATAGAAATATTAGCGTGATCGGATTTGTCAAGGGAGACGTCATTTGCACACTTATGTGAATTTCAATACCGTTTGTTATAAAAAAAAAAAATTGTAATCAACATTCAGTCATTTTAAATGAACGAGTGGACTGTTTTGACGCACCACCCACCCAAAGACTGATATGTCGTGTATGATTATTTCCAATCTTTTGTAAAAAAAACACAACCTTTTTGGGGGGGGAAATATTTTTTGTTGAACAAGACAGTTTTCACTACTTCACTCCTTTTAAATGCAAGGAGGATCCTGGAGGCCTGAGCGGTTCGGAAAGGTGCCAGACGTTATCCAAAACTTACTCTTATAGAATGATTCGAAGATTATATTTATTATAATTATATCTTTTTCAAGCCATGTAGGTAATTTTATAACTTTTTTCTCAATAAAAAAAATCGGTTTAAAGACGTCAAACGGGTTCGAGCAGTTAATCACTTTCCACACAAAAGTCCACAGATGACGCGTCGTTTGGTAGTCGCTTTCTCATTCGTTTGTAAGTGCACGACTTGCAAGTGCAGAAATTCTCAAAATGGGAATCGAGGATTTTGCTCCATCAGAGGACTCGGTGGATCCAGCAGAACCACATTTTCGGGGACTAAGTGGCCGGCCAGCCGTTGCAAATTCGGGCAGGGGACCCCCATTTGCGCTATAGGACGCCTCCATGGGCGTCGCGAGGGGGGGGGGGGGGCAAGGGGGGCACTTGCCCCCCCCCCCCTGGAAAAGCAAAAAAAAAAGAGAAAAAAGAAAAGAAAAAGAGGCGCGAAGACAAAGTGGTGTAAATTTAATGAGTTGGGGGGGGGCAAAATGTCCCTTCCCCCCTCTAAAACTGATAAATCGAGAATATGTTGAGAAATGCAAGCATTTTTGGCAAAAAAATAATTTTTGCCCCCCTCTAGAAAAAAATCCTGGCGACGCCCATGGACGCCTCCCCCCCCCCTCCTCTCCCCTCCCCCTCCGCCCCTAGTGTCTACCAACAGTTCACAAAGTGGTATCGATTCAGAAACGGTCGTATTCACTTTTCCTCTGGTTTTTAATTATTAGAAAAAAAATCGAAAATATTTGGGTGATGCATCCATCCCCCCTCCCCTCCCACAGAATCTGCCCATGGTTAGGACCACGTGTCTAACTAAATACAAACATGAAGGGATTTCCACGCCCAAACTGAGTACTGCCACAGCAAACAACAGTTATTTACAATCCATTTTGTCCTGTTCGTTAATCTCTGAGCGCTGTTTAGCATTTCTATGGTGGTTACGTAATGACGTTCATGGAGACGAAGACACAATGCGTTATACATACCGCGGATTCATTCATTTATTAGAAAACAGAAGAACGTTTTGATGGCCACGTTGAACGCTGTAACACGGAGTCGTTCTTCTATTATCACAATTATTACCATTTTTACAAGACCATCCTCAATCCTGATGTTTTTGCCTGAAATCAAACGTTTTGTTTGATAACTGCCTCCACGCATAAACTCATTACCTCGAAGACCAAAGGGCGACGTCTTCGAGGTATTATTCAAGATTTTGCCGCATGATTTGATGTGACTGAATATAAATCAAGGTAAGTGAAATTTGCTTTTGAATTGTGCTGTAGAATTTTATATTGGTTTCTCGTCTTTAAAATGAGGTTCCATCGACAAACATAATACGACCCGAAACAGTAATTTCGAAATGTATTGCAAGTTATCGTGTAGGGGCCCAACCATATACATTTGTGACATCCAGATTTGTATTCGAGAAAAAGAATTAATACGTATTTTTTTGATAATATTGTTTTCGTTTTCTTCAATTTTGAAGATGGCGAAGTTCACGTGTCGACTTGAAAAGTGGCCTGCGTTGCTGCTCATTACAGTTGTTTGTGTGGCATCGGCGGCCTTGTTCGGTAATGAAAATTTATTTCAGTCGGTTTCAAAATAGATCACACTTTTCCAGACATCGACAATCCTTAACAATATTCTTCTGTAAATCTCTCCCTTGACTAAAGAGGACTTTGTGCCTCAAAAAAGCTTATATTTTGGCGGTTTCGTGCATTAATAACTAAAGGTGTGTTATTCCCTTATTACAGTTTTCTCCGACGTTACCGTACACACTGACGACATCAATCTTCAGAAGAGCACCTTCAATCATGCAACAAGCCAGAAAGTAAAAGGTATGGGTCAGATATAAGTACAAAATTTGATAACCTTGTTAACGGTTGGTCCTGTAACAATGGAGTAACTACGGAAAGCAAGCATGCATGAACACATAACACTTTCGAAAAAAATTGTCTCAGAGGCGGTTCTGACAAGTTCAACTACTGAGTTATGCAGTCGAGAAAAACTTCGAACTTTCTTAATACTGATGACTTGCATTTAATTGTTTCACTTCCATCTGAAAATGTGTAAACAATAAGAATTTCGCGAAACATTGCGTTATTTCTGCCAGAAACTTTCGGATCTCGGTTTGATCCTCGTCAAGTTTCCGTGGGCAGTTCATATAACGAAAAACACCTCATAAAAAGGTCAAACCCTCACCCGGCGCTTGGCCGATTATCACTAATGTCAAAGCCATTAAAGTCAAATATTGACCAATTTTACTTGCACAGAAATGCGAAATGTCCGAAACAACAGTCAAGAGGAGGTAGAGAGTTTCGACCCGACACTAGTGCGCTTCGTGGAAGCCCCACTCCCAGCGGGCGTGACCGTAACTCAGAGACCCTGGCAGGATCCAGCTGACGACCCAAGACCTGTGATCCTTGCCACCACCAACAAAGCTTTCTTGGACTTTACTGCGAACTGGTTAGAGAGCATCCGCCGTTTGGACACTAACCCTAAGATCCTGATTGTGGCAGAGGATAAAGAGACACAGCGGTTCTTGTACGGGCGACCTGGGGTTCACGTGGCTGCCTCACAAGGCTTCAACACTCCGGCTGAGCAGCTACCCTGGGACTCGCCCATCTACAACGCTATGGTCAACAAGCGGCCTGCCTACATCTACCAACTCCTACAGCAGGGACATGACGTGTTGTTCAGCGATGTAGACACCGTCTGGCTTCGAGATCCCTTCCCGTATCTTCAAGGAGACTTTCACGTGGCCGTGGAGGAAGACCAGCACAAGCCTTACGTCGCCTATTGCGCCGGCTTCGTCTTCTTCCGAGCCGCTGAGAAGACTAGAGAATTCGTCCGTGAGTGGCTCCGAAGGTTACACCAATCAAAGACCAAGATCTCAGACCAGGTTCTGATGAACGAGATGCTGACCAAAGATCAGATTCCAGGTCTCAAGAAGATGGTCATGCCGTCTGAGATCTTCCCGAACGGGAAGCTATTCTTCATGACGCCTGGATGGCGGCAGCAGCACCGACAGTCGGTTGCCGTAGTCCACAACAACTGGATTCAGAGCAAGGAGAGGAAACTGCAGAGGTTTAAGGAGCACGGACTGTGGTTTACCGACACTGGCAAGATGTGATCATGGCTCTTGCCCTTGATTCTAAGATACATCAAACCCTCCTTACCTTAGTTGATTCAATCAATTAACATCGAGGAAGACCGATTTCTATGGATTCATTTATCATCAACTCTTTTCTTCAGACTTCCTTCTAGAATGATATAGTCTTCTTGTATTCCTGTAAAGTAGAAAGGTCATCACGGTGTCGACCGCTGATATGCATAAAATACTACGAAAAGGTAACTGTTCACTTAAAAGAAAGCCTAAATTAAGTCATGAGCAGATCCAGGTTTTGGATCAACAGGGGGAGGGTTATCTGCCAAGAGAAGGTTTGTAGGTAATATGCTTTGTTTTTCTGCATGGTTTTCATATTTTGGGGCCCAAGATCTTAAATAAGAAGGGGAATTAAGACCTCGATTCGCCACTGCAAGTTCTGCAGTATAAGTGACTTGAAAGAAGATGGAGTGCTCCATTGTCGCTAATGGTTTCCTTTTATACGGCGAGTAATTTTTACCTGCAGAGGAATGGCATGGAGTCTTACTCTTGCATGCGCAATTCGTGTGAACAACTCAGAGTCAGACATTTTTAACGCAATACTACAACTAAGTCACTCGATTTTAAGAGTACATATAGGCCTATATAGAGTAAAGTATATAAGAGTAGACGCTTAATATTTCAGTATATCAAAAAGACTTACTTTCCCCAAGCAACGGTAGAAATTGCTTAAACCTCGTTCACTAAAAAAAAATACATTAAAAAATTGCATTTTAAATAAATACGCATTATTAAATTATAATATAAAACTCGTGTAGGCCTAAACCTGATCTCAAACTTGGAATAATTTTGTAGTCCTACTTAATGTTGATAGAAAGGGTATTGTCAACTCATTTTAAACAAAGCAGTTCGCATTATTAGGGAAATTAATGAATTTTAAGCCAGATTGAATTTGCAGTTTGTGTTAATGTGGTTTTGTTATTCTCCAATAAGTAAACTACAACGTGTTATTGAACCGAGGCAATAATATTGCTTATTATTTACTATAGATCGTAAATACTTTGACGATCTGACTACTTTTGGCCTATCCAGTTCTAAATGATCAAAAAGACTTCCGCGTGTTCCCTCAAAATGTCAATCCTTTGCTCAAAATGTAGGAGTATGGTGGCCCTGAAGGGACATCGCATATCGCAAACGTGTGCGCATACGTATGCGATGTCGCGAAATTTATCGCGAATGTGTGCGCACACGTATGCAATGTCGTGAAACAATTCGCGAATATGTGCGCACACGTATGCGATGTCGCGAAATTTATCGCGAATATGTGCGCACACGTATGCAATGTCGTAAAACAATTCGCGAATATGTGCGCACACGTATGCGATGTTGCAAAATTTATCGCGAATATGTGCGCACACGTATGCGATGTCGCAAAATTTATCGCGAATATGTGCGCACACGTATGCGATGTCGCGAAATTTATCGCGAATATGTGCGCACACGTATGCGATGTCGCGAAATTTATCGCGAATATATGCGCACACGTATGCGATGTCGTGAAATTTATCGCGAATATGTGCGCACACGTATGCGAATTTGTTTGCAATGTCGTGAATTTTATTGCATACCTTGTCGCATACCTTTCAGTAAAATTCCTAATGAACTGGGGAGTTGTAGCAGCTAGTCTGGAATCTAGACGTACTGTTAGATATAAATAGGGTCTGACTAATAAACCTGTCGAGCGCAAACTTGCTACTTGCGCAACTTTGAAATTTGCGCGCGCAAGTTTGAAACTCACGTGGTGTCATATTTCAGCCAATAAATATGCGCACGCAAATTTAAATTGCCGTGATTTGCAGGTGTTGCGATCAATTTGTACATGAACTGCACGTTCTATTAATGATAAATGAACTGCTGCGAACTGCTAATAATACCACCTAGATAAAAATACTTGATCTTCCCAGTAGATGGATGAAATGGATTATGCAATAAAAATTCAAATTTATAAAACTATGTTGGGTACATTTTGTTTTAAAGGGGTGTTATAGGTCAGCAGCACTCTCTTTTGTGCACTTTTAGAGTGGAAAATGGAGACTCCTGATTAGGGCCTTAATTAACAGCTAATTAGTGGACCGAATTGGCCCCCTCCAAAATTTGATCTTCCCAGTAGATGGATGAAATGGATTATGCAATAAAAATTCAAATTTATAAAACTATGTGGGGTACATTTTGTTTTAAAGGGGTGTTATAGGTCATCAGCATTCAGTTTTGTGCACTTTTAGAGTGGAAAATGGAGACTCCTCATTAGGGCCTTAATTAACAGCTAATTAGTGGACCGAATTGGCCCCCTCCAAAATATGATGTGCCCAATAGAAGGTTCGGTTAGATGAAAGCATAAAAAATAGTACATTTATTGTATAACTTTTCGTTGGGAAAGTCCAAGAAATCCTTTCACTACAAACAGAGAGGCAACCACCTTTTACTCTATGTGTTTGAGATTTTGATACCGCGGTTGAGAACGCGGCTAAGAACGCGGCTAAGAACGCGGCTAGGTTTTGGGCCCATAACGCGGCTAAGTTTAGTTTGGTATGACCTTGGCCACGCTGAAATGTAACTGCCTGGTACCCAAGCTCCTGCCTTGAAGTATCTTGGGTATACAAAATGGGACCAGGGCCACTTGCGTACTCCCTAGGTCACTAACAAATTGCCCGCAAAAATGACATCACCCCAAAGGTATGCGACAAAGGTATGCAATAAAATTCACGACATTGCAAACAAAATCGCATACGTGTGCGCACATATTCGCGAATTGTTTCACGACATCGCATACGTGTGCGCATATATTCACGATAAATTTCACGACATCGCATACGTGTGCGCACATATTCGCGATAAATTTCGCGACATCGCATACGTGTGCGCACATATTCGCGAATTGTTTCACGACATTGCATACGTGTGCACACATATTCGCGATAAATTTCACGACATCGCATACGTGTGCGCACATATTTGCGATAAATTTCACGACATCGCATACGTGTGCGCACATATTCGCGATAAATTTCACGACATCGCATACGTGTGCGCACATATTCGCGATAAATTTCGCGACATCGCATTCGTGTGCGCACATATTCGCGAATTGTTTCACGACATTGCATACGTGTGCGCACACATTCGCGATAAATTTTGCGACATCGCACACGTGTGCGCACACGTTTGCGATATGCGATGTCCCTTCAGGGCCACCATATAGGAGGCTAGACGAACGGGCGAGGCACACTTTATCCAGGCTAATTCTACTCTATCCGTGAAACAGTGAAAATCTTTGTGGTTGGAGTATGAGGCGGGCTTGGGGTGCTTTCTTCTTTCAGTTTCACGACAAGTAAGCATCTGTTCCATGCAGACGGGTTCTTCCGCTCTAAATTTACTCCTCCCTGTACACTTCAAAGGTATATTCCACGATTGTTTTAAATTGAAATAAAGCCGAATGCAGGCCTACATTATATTTTTCAAATCATGAAAAGTTGAGATCATTACAATGTAGCACGTTGCCCTCATTAATGAGATGGACATACATGGTATTCTTGATTCTTCTCTCTTTTTTGCAAGATGGGACTATCATGTAGGCGGCATGGCGACATGCGTTCTGCATTTTGATAAAATCCGATCTGTGGAGCTACAGACAAGTTGTCAGGATTCCCACGTTGGGCAGGACCAGTTTAAGCGCACCATGGCTCAGTAAAGTTTGGTTTCAAAATGACATCGATTTTTTTTTGTAATTTATCCCAAAAAAATAAGCCCCTCAAAGAGTCAACTCAGAAAAAGAGGGCGCACTTTCAGAGTGAGGGCGCTCTTTAAACAGTGTTTTATGAGCAAAACATGCTACTTTTTCTTGCGTTTTCTAAATGTTTCCATGTTTTCTCTTAACCTATTATCGTTGGGTAGCGTAGCCCATATCCAAGACCAAAGTGGTACAAGACTAGTATCAGAATTTTTCCCACTATGGCATTTTATGTTTGTACTCTGAGTCTGTGCAAAGGAAGCATAGTCTTTAAACCAGATCTGAACTTATGGGGTTCAATACGTCATGCATCCCGGTACCAGACACACACCAGACTTGGAACTCAAGTGGGACTTTAAAAAACGGTGGATTGAATTAACAGTTTCCCTTCGAAATCCGTTTCCTTTCTTTTTGTGGCGCTCATTAAAGGGAATGCATACTCGACATCTCACCCATTTCGGGTGTAGCTTCAAGTTTGCAATGCATTCGTATTAAAAGTCGAGAAGTGCAGGGGAGGAAGATTGACCGACGCAAATGAGGGAAGAAGGAATGTCCCCTCTTTTCAAAACAGATATTTGAGCCCAAGCCAGGTTCTTTTAACCTAGACTGCCCCTCTCATGATTCGATATGCCTACGCTCAGACAAACTTTACCATTGATCGTACCTAATTGACTAATTTCCCTGAGCTCTCTACACTCAATTCGCACAATGAAAAGATGCCGGCAAGCCTCTTGAAAGCTCTGACAGCATTTCAAGACTTTTTCCTAACAATATACTTGGCAAATTCTGGACGTCCGCTCCAAAAGACTCACGCAGTGGCTGATCTATTTTCGTTTCTCCCTCACAGAGCCGGTGCGTAAATCCTAACCCACGTGGATGTGAGTCATGCTAGGGGTACGGTAGCGGCCCAGGCCGTTGGGTTTATAAAGCAGAGTTTCAGAGACGGGGAACCTTTTTGAGCCGGTCCTGACTGCCGTGTGGAGCAGGCCAAACCACCTGTCGACCGCCGGGTCATCACCAGACACTGTCGCAATCGGTTGCCGTGCAAGCTCGCTGTATCGAGGGTGGGATTTCCGAAAGGGTTTTGAAGAGATACGATTTCAGATCCATCATGACACGAACGGACGATAAAGAAGAATTGGTGAGCCTTTGCATGCAATACAACGCTTTGAATGCCTTGCATGTCCTGCATGAGAGGGGCGGGGTTGGAAGTTTAAAAGAGGGGCGGAATTAGAGACCACGTCCCCTCATAATAGTCGAGAGAATAACATGAAAGTATTCACATTAAGGCATGTTGTAGCTGCGTTGTTGTACATGGGTTTAAATTATTGTGAACTAATTAAGCAAGTTAACTCGGGTGTGTGCATTTGATAAGGCTGACTTGTTTTGAGCCTGAGAGTTTCCAACTCGCAAAGTTTGACGATTTCTCAGGTTCCAAATGTTTCTGATATAGCTGCTCACACGGTCTAAGTTCGATATCGTGGCTCGGGCAACACACACAATGAAGTTCCAATCCAGGCGATTAAATCCCGCATGGAGAACAATCTTCAGAGCAAATCCAGGCCTACTTCATCTTCTAGAACATAGTTTCTTTGGTCTGTCTGTAGTACATCGGGCTTTTATTTTTCAAGATTTTAAGAGAATGACATCAGGGGAAAAAATGTTTTGTCACTCATGCTTGGACATCGTCAGAAAGCTGTGACCCAAAAATCTTGCGCTGATGATAGACGTATATGCATGACCCAACATTATGTGACATTGAAACAATCAACTGTATTTATGATAATGCCAAAACACAGAGTCCTTAATCACAGTGATGTAATGCGTAATTCCTCATATCCTGTGTTTCCGTGAATCGGATCTGCTTCGGAGTGAATCATAGTAGTACCTATAAGGCTACTACTGAGGTTAAAATGACGTCTACATGGGTCAGAAGACCGTCACCTGCCGCTCATAATAATGACTCTATCAGTTATCTCCAGAACATAACACATTGCTCGTTGTCTCTTCTTTAAGTTGAAGACTGCCTCATGAGGCAGCAGGCACAGGCTGAGGGTGGGGTTTGGTGAGGTTTGTGTTGGGATGGGATGATAGGCCTTCTCTTTCTCTAAACCAGAACCCGAGGTAGCATTCCATTAGTTTGTGTGATACAAAGTTCCACCAACACCCCCCCCCAAAAAAAAAAATCAATTAACCCCCCCCCCCCCCACCACCACCCCACCCCCACTTCGGTAACAGATCAATTATCGCTTATAGGTTTCTTGAAAGTTGTTAATTTTGCCGATTCTGATTATAAATAATACGAACGCATCCATCTGAAAAAGAACAAATGAAAAGTTGCTGCGATGAGAGATGGGGTTCCTAACTATGTTAAAAGTGGTTTTTAATGCCTTTAGTTTAGGAGCAACGGTAATACTTTATATTACAATCATGACATAAATTATAAATTTAAATCTAAAATTCTACCTGGAATCAAGCATAATCACAAGTGGTCTTGGAATCTTGTCAACGAGACGTTGCCTGTAATGGAATTTGCAATGTCTTTGAAAAAAGTTGCAAACAGACCTCCGTAGAACTGAAAAACGTAAAAACTGTATATAAAACATCAATACTTTTGAAGAGTATATATAGCTAGAAGTAATACAGAACAGATCAGTATGAGGGGTTACAGAATCGAGAAGTGACTAATACCATGATCCTACGTTAGGTTGGGACGGCCCATTGGGAAGAACAGCAACGGAAGAGAATAATCTGTCCAGGATATCACCCCATATATCTGGTATTGTCTCATGTGCTTTACAGCTGGAAGGCATAGCTAAATTAAAGAAAGGAGGTCTCAATGGGAACTTGGAGAAGGGTGGCAGGAAATTGATGAATCATGCAGAGAGCTACTTATAACACAGATTTGTGACAGCGAGGAATTAAGCAAGGAAATGTGACCACAGCCTTTTGCGGATATTTTACATTATAGAGTATTGTTCAGATAAAAGTCACGGTGCAATGTCTTGCAATTGGCGATCCCATGCATAATTATGTCTCGTGTCGCTCGAAATAGAAATAAGCGTAATATGCGCACTATAGCAGATCCGAAGGAAGGGGACACAGAACCACTGATCTCTATATAAAGACTGGATAGCTAATACAGAGCCGCACAATGTACGAATTTGACGCCATATTGGTGAGACCGGCTGGTGATCTACAAAGGACATGTTGCCGTTTTTATAGACAGCATGATTTCTTTTGTAACGTCGCGGTTCACTTGACTTATATTTTGACCACCATCACTGATCAAGGTTAACTACAATTTTTCTAACGTCGTGGTTACTAAAATGCCGCAAATATAACTTTTTCGGCGTTTTGAAATAATAATCACTACGGAAATGTGTCCCTTTTAGAACATCATAATATGTGTACGTGACCAAAATGCGCGTCAACTGTTGATACAACGCGCGCGTATTTACGCGTAGAACGTTCGTATTATACGCGGCCATCTTCGTGAGACCGGGGGCGAATTGGTCAATGTGCGAAGTCTACTGTGTGAATGTTGTATGCATATCCGCTATCCAGTCTTTATATAGAGATCAGTGCACAGAACCCAGAGAAATAGTACCGTGACTGTTTTTAAATCGATGCTGTGGTCTTTCCCCTTTCCCTCTATACAGATTCGCTGAACATAAATAAAAAGAGGGAAAGAAAAAGAAGTAATCCAAACTATTTCAAACTATTGTCTCGCTGTTAACTAATTAGCGTTTTACTTCAGCTTTTTCAGGGTGCCGAACCGAAATGATTCATGTTCATTTTCCGCCACCCATTATCTTGTTTTAGACGTGCAGTCATGGGGATGACTAACGTAGAAAATCATTAAAATGATGTTGTCTGATTAAGCTTTTTGCTTTTGGCTCACACAGGCACCTTAACCTTGTGAATTTTTGCTCACACAAGCACCTGGGCAGTACTATGATACGTGTAATATGAAATAACGTCCTTCAATTAGCTTAAAATATTGATGATAAGGAGTCGTTCATCATGACAGTCGTTCATCTCCGTGCAGGTCGAGGAGCCGGCCGACGCCGGCACAGGCATCCGTCCGAACCGGCTGACCAGCATCAGTCGGGCCGCTGTGCGCGCACGCAAGTACTCGACCAGCATCAAGAAGAGAGTCCGTAAGACGGTCGATTCGTTCATCGATGGGGGAGAGCTGAATGAGGAGGTGGACCCCTGGGCTCTGACGGAGATAGAGCAGACCAGCGAACCATGGTCAGGTGAGGGCGGTATTTTATTTTTATCTAATAGACCTTGTATTTTAAGGCGAATAGGGAGCAGTGGTTGTATCACATATGCATGACTAAACCCGTACGTTTGTTATGACAAAATTGAAATAACAATGAACACATCTGAGGTACCTGCATCACATACGGTCTATGAGTTCCTCAAAAGTGGGTCCAGGCAGACGCTTGAAGTAAACGAGAGAGAATATTCACAGGGGGGAAAATTAAAACCCTGTAACGTTACACTGGCAACCCCCCTTCACGGTGCAAGACTATACTTTAAAAACACATGCAATTTGTTAACCATCTGGCCTTGAAGTAAGTAACTAACACGATTTTAGCAGTTCCTTATACACATGTAATTAGAGAAAAACCTTGAAATTTACGTTATAAATACCCCGTCCTCTTTTCCCCAGAACTGACGACAAAGGGCAAATTGTACCGTGTCCTGGTGGAGTGGATCGGCAAGCCTATCGCTATTCTAATCTTGCTCTACTTCTTCATCTGCTCACTGGATCTGATGAGCTCCGCCTTCAGGTTACTTGGAGGTGAGAAATAAATAGTACTAAATTACCATAATACTTTTATAAAACTATTCTAATATTTTTTATTCTATCTTTTTGTTCAAAGATCGCTAAACAAAGGTTAAAATGAATCGAGCATGGTGTAAAGAAAATGGAATCGATTCATAATGTATATTTTTTTCATACAAGCATTTTAAAATTTGGTTTTAAAATAACGAGGACTAAATTTCAAATGAAAAATCGTAGCTTGGAATAGGCCTAATGTGCTATACCCTCGATATATAATATCCATATTTACCAGAAATTAGCATTTTAAGTTGTGTGAGCATTCAAAGCGAACTTTCAAGACACCATTTCAACGTCATTTTTTAAATTCAAAATGATATCACTGTAATTTGACATTAATTCTGGTCTTCCTAATCCCAGGGAAGGAAGCCGGGGAGGTATTTAGCGAGAGCACCCTTCTCAACAACCCCATATGTGGCTTGATGATCGGCATCCTAGCTACCGTACTGGTCCAGAGCTCCAGCACTTCAACCTCCATCGTTGTCTCCATCGTATCAGCTGGAAGTGAGACTATATCCATTTACTTTTTCTTTCCTTTAATTCTTTCTTTATTTTTTTGTGGCCAATCGCGTTACATTGACAATAGGCATTGCCTAACTCAATGTTGCTTCAGAGTTTGAGCTTCGTTGAGAAGTGAGGCATTTCACGTGTCATCCATCTTTATCTTAGACCTTGACTTCGAGTCGGATTTGAAATCCATGCTGATTGTGACGTCAACAGCCGATTTACGCCCAAGTATGGAAAGAAACTTTAAGGCATTGACTGTTTCTTTTTTTCTTACATAGTTCTGCAAGTGGAGCCGGCCATTTTCATCGTGATGGGCGCCAACATCGGCACATCGGTCACCAACACCATCGTCTCTCTGGCCCAGTCCGGCAACCGAAACGAGTTCCGTCGGGCCTTCGGAGCCGCTACCATCCACGACATGTTCAACTGGCTGGCGGTGATCTGCCTACTGCCGCTGGAGTGCGCTACTAAGTATCTGTACCACTTCACCCAGGCTATCGTCGATGGGTTAAACGTGACTACCACTGAGGGGTCCAAGGTGGAGCTACTGCGCGTGCTCACCAAACCCTTTGCCAAGAAGATCATTGACGTAAGTAGTAATATGCCACCTGTTTACTAGTGCGCATGCGCGTACAGGTGTCTGTACAGTTCATCGCCTTCAGCAATGTTCCAGCTAAATCGTGAATTCAAATCATTCGGGCAGCATACGTCAGCACGTGACATTAGAAAATGATACTTAACGTGACTAAGTTTCTAGAATGTGTGCAGTAAGAACCCACCCCAATACACCCACCGCCAACAAACTGTTTTGTTATACAGAAATTCGATTTCCATCAAGGGTTTCCGTAACAGCATCTCAGAGGTCCACATTAGGCCCATCGTTTGCACGCGCACATAATAACAACGAGGCGTTATCCATTAGTTTCAATTACTCAAATCTATGCTTCCCCTTCTTTCCAAAAACCCCATCAATTTAGATCGACAGTAAAGTTGTGGCCAAGATCGCTCTTGGGACGATCGATCCAAGCGAAGCCAAACTCCTCAAGGAATGGTGTAAAAAGGAGAAGATAGCGGTGCTGGCTAACACCACTATGCCGCCACCTACGGCAGCTGCAACGGCCGGGGTCGCTGGCTTTACGGAGAACCCGGGCATGGTCACGGAGTACATAGAAGTTGGAGTGGAGAGATGTGAGTATAGATGCTGGCATGTAAAGTGTAGTGGAAAACGAATGAGAACATACTTTTTACCACTTTAAGATTATTTAATGGATGATAATTATCTTGTGGCATCGAGTTGATCTTAAGATATGAAGCAATCTTCCACGTACCTTCATTATGGTTAACTTGGCAAATTCTGGTCATTTGCTTCAGGTCATCTTGTACTTGACCCATCTGGTAAACTCGACAAAATAATCAAGTATATCATTGTTATTTTCGACACACCAGGTTCATACCTATTTGCCAACACCGGTTTGTCTGAGAGAGGCGTGGGCGCCATTCTCCTCATCCTGACGCTCATCCTTCTATGCACATGTCTCCTCCTCATGGTCAAACTCCTCAACTCCATCTTGAAGGGCCGTATGGCAAGCGTCATCAAGCGGGTCATCAACGCCGACTTCCCCCATCCGTTCGGATGGCTGTCCGGTTACCTTGCTATACTGGTGGGGGCCGGGGTGACCTTCCTCGTACAGAGCAGCTCCGTCTTCACCTCGGCTCTGACTCCCTTAGTCGGTTTGGGTGTGATAACCTTGGACCGCGTCTACCCGATGACTCTAGGCTCTAACATTGGTACCACGGCTACAAGCTTGCTCGCCGCCATGGCTAGCTCAGGGGACAAGCTCAAGAATAGCATCCAGATCGCTCTATGCCACCTCTTCTTCAACATCAGCGGCATCTTGATCTGGTATCCAGTCCCCTTCATGCGTAAGGTGCCTATCTTCTTTGCTAAGGCACTGGGCAACACCACAGCCAAGTACCGCTGGTTTGCCATCTTCTACCTAATCATCATGTTCTTCTTGCTGCCGCTGTTCGTCTTCGGGATGTCTCTGATCAGCATCTGGCTCCTGCTTGCCATTGGCCTTCCCGTCCTCCTCCTCCTCATCTTCATCGTCATCGTCAACATCTTGCAGCACAAGAAACCCGAGGTTCTCCCAAAGAAGCTCCGTACCTGGGACTCTCTGCCCCTATGGATGCACTCCTTGGCACCCTTAGACCGTCTTATCACCAGAATCCTCCATACCCTGACCCGATGCTGTCCTTGTAAGAAGAGTCCTAGCGACCAAGACAAAGATGCACTGCCTCTGCATTACAGCACAACTGGAGATTCTTCCAACGGCAATCTTGCCGTTCACTACGATGCTGTCAATCAACGTACCAGTACGTTACCACTCAACTCTTCGCACACCAATACGGAGACAAGAACCAGCGCATTTTAATCTACAACTTTAACATCTATCAATGTTAAAGACAGGGCCCTGTATTTAATATGGCTCTGCTAACTTCACAATTAATGGTCACCGTTCTGTGCTAACAGTGCTAGTCAATGAAAAAAGTCAGAATTTTCATCTACGTTAAAGGGTCCATGGAGTAAATCTTTCTTAAGAAGATATTTTGTGCAACCATGCAACCTTCTACTCCTCTTAAATGGACAACTGAGGGCGCTGTTGCTGCTATGTCATTTCAGGAAGACACTGTCTGCAGTTTAGGGGTTTTCTGTTCAAATTGTGAAATCAAAAGTTTTGAAACTTTGCCTATTGAAAACATTTGTGAGAAAATTTTGCTCAATGGCTTACTGCCATGTACTGACACAACAAGAAATCGCCAACAGAAAATATAATTTATGACAGCGAAATATCTAAAAATTCTGGCAACTTTTTGGTACTGAAATAGCGACATGCTCATGAACGTGGTAATTCGTATTTGCATAAAAACCAAAAAGACATAAAAATACCCTTGAAAATGGCAAAACGAAAAATTCAAAATAGGATTAAATGAGACACAGAAGTGATTTTCCAATGATTTCCAAATACATTGCATGGGCCCTTTAAGCGAGGATTTTTCGCGAATGGTAAGCAGGGCCATGAAATTGAGCCCTGTTGCAAACTGCATGAACATAATTCTATGATGCAAACGAGTCGACAGTGTTTCAGTGATGCACTTGAACCCAAGAAGCAACAGCGTTACAATAATAACATTATAATAGAACCTAATTATTTCGTATGTATGCGAGTTCGCAATCACTAATTGCGTGCTCAGAGACGTACCTGAAGTGTTTTAACTCGAAAATGGTTCATGAAAATTAACCTTGAATTTTTGAATGTTGCTGTTTAAACAAAAATTAAAATTGTAAATTTGTCATTTTTGTTTTCTAAAACATTTCACTATCGACATTTAAAAACTCTATACGTAAAGTAATACACATTATTGTACCGTATTTTAGACTATACGGGATAAGATTAGGTCTTGTGTCTTTCCTGCGAGTATTCAGTGATCCATGTTTATAAGTCGAATGCTTTATTGTAAATACATTGAGCAAATAAAATGCTTACAAAGATCTTCAATTGTTTCATATCCAGACTGTAATTATCTGTATTCGCTTGAGTTCATCACTATGGAAACATTGGTTTCATCACTATGGAAAATACGGATAATAAAATAAACCAACCCAGGAAAACCCCTAAATGTTTAGTACTTTCGTCGACAACAAAAGTAGTTGTTCCTACGCTTTCAAAGAGAGATATTCGAATCCACGCCGGTGCCTGCAGAATGCCAGGTGCCCCCCCCCCCCCTCCCTAAAATATAAAAAGAAACAATTCAGAAAAAGTGAAAGTTTTGAGGCATCTTTCCTCCCCCCCCCCCCCAAAAAAAAAATGAAAGCATTGTCATACGTCAACCCGTAGCCTTGTTGATAGCGCCCTCTACGGCTATGCGGCTTGCCGGATGAATAATCTAAATTTAGTTACGAAACAAGACTACCGAGATAGCTGTGGCACGCTATGGCAACGGATTACCACAGTCTCAAATCTAAAAAAATCCCATCATGCAGCAGTGTACTTAACAATGGGCAAATTTATGGGCTACAGATGAGTCAATGCAGGAACAGGGTCAATTTACGTTCCATTACTTTGTGCACTGGCAAATTTAATGGCGATTGTGCTTCGTATGCTACGCAGCGAAAATTTGTTGTAGGCCCACCTTGAATTTTTCAGAATGTTATCATCTAAATGCTTCGGTTTCATGATGAAAAAACAGTTGAACATTTAAAAGGTTAGTGTTATTTGTAGTATAGAATAATATTGTTATGATTTGTATTAAAACAAACAGCGAATACGTTCTCCGTCAAAACCAAAAATTAGTGGACACGAACATCGTCGATTCGTGAACGTTGACATTATTTTATTGGCAGAATCAATATTGTTGGTGTGACGTTCATGAACATGATGAACGATAGCGGATACGGGATAGGCTTGGCAGATGCTGTGGGAAGAAAACAAGTGGCAGTATTTGTGGCTTTTCTCTTCCCACAGTAGGCCTACTTACTAGTTTAAATTAAATTCTGTTTCTGTACTGTATATCAATTTGCAGGAATTGCACAGTGCAGTGGTTCATTAAAAAAAAAAATAGGGCAGCTATCAGCAGAAACCAGTTCAAGCTATTTTTTTAAGGCTTAGGCCTATAATGTTTTGAATACCATTGTCTGAAAAACATTGTAAGATTCTAAGAAACTAATTTTGTCGGTTAGGCTTAGCTAGATCTAGTCCGAGTAACTTGGACCCAACTTATCGCCTTTTTTAACATTTGGACATGGTCTGGCGATAGTAGGGTCCAAGCCCATTCCGAGACCTAGACAACACAGTCACTGACAGTCCCAAAAACCAACATTTTCCAACAAAAAACATCAGATTTCACCTTCAAAACGGCCTCCAAATTACTAGATATGCCACCTGAGGTACAAGTAGACATCGATAATTAAGATGGTTGTACTGAAGCTTACTTACGATCCGGAAAAAAAGTGAAATTTTCCGTTCATTTCGGAGAGCTCCCCTCGCGATCTTGAACACGTTAAATTTGCGATCGTGTTTAAAGTTTGAACGACGCGATTTCTTCTACATGCCCAGCGTACATTCGATGGTCCCCGTATCCCGAGTGCGATTCCGTTACCGAGCGCGCGCGATGCATCGATTATGATAATGAGTAGACTGGATCACGTTTGTAAACACATGTGCATTTCAAACGATAATAGGGAGTCGGGAACTAGCGCAGCTTTTATAGCGGGTACCAGTTCAAGCTGGTTCCGGATTCCCTTTTACAGTTCGAAATGCACATGTATGTGTTTACAAACGTGACTCATTATCATAATCGATGCATCGCGCGCGCTCGGTAACGGAATCGCATACGGGATACGGGGACCATCGAATGTACGCTGGGCATGTAGAAGAAATCGCGTCGTTCAAACTTTAAACACGATCGCAAATTTAACGTTTTCAAGATCGCGAGGGGAGCTCTCCGAAATGAACGGAAAATTTCACTTTTTTTCCGGATCGTAAGTAAACTTCAGTACAACTATCTTAATTATCGATGTCTACTTGTACCTCAGGTGGCATATCTAGTAATTTGGAGGCCGTTTTGAAGGTGAAATCTGATGTTTTTTGTTGGAAAATGTTGGTTTTTGGGACTGTCAGTGACTGTGTTGTCTAGGTCTCGGAATGGGCTTGGACCCTACTATCGCCAGACCATGTCCAAATTTTTAAAAAGGCGATAAGTTGGGTCCAAGTTACTCGGACTAAGCTAGATCTAGGCCTAATAATTTTCACATCTCCTCACATCTCCTTTGTTCTTTTTCCATGAATAATTATGTCATTTATTGTTTTGATTGACAGTAGATTCTGAAGACAAAAAAGATCTGAGTGACACTGCCACAACCAACAAGTGACAAGATGTCTGCTTCAGCTCATACCAGCGTGGCCAACCTCAAGGCCCATCAGAATAAGGTAGCACCAAATGGCTTGGTCAAGAAGGAGAAGGTCGTCAATGTCGGCAGGAAACAGAGGAAACGCAGGGGATCCATTGGTAGTTCCATCAACTTAGCTGAACCAGTGAGTAATTCTGGACTTCAGTGTTGTCAAGTTCATCCTAAGTCCGTTCATATCAAAATCCCAGTCACTTTATATCAAAAGTAACAGAGGACAGAACAATAGCAAAAGAACTGGCACAGTTCATTTGTGTCGTTTGTGACTTGATTTGAGACGGGATGACTTGTAATGGACATGACCACATCTCTGCTGGACTCGCTCATAAAAATTGTTTCTTATATCTTTTTTCATCAAAATCCATCTATAGAAAACAGCTGGCCGGCTCTGCAAAATTTTAAGTCCAATTCTGAGGAGTCAAATCTTCAAGGATAACATATTTTATTTACTTTATTCAGTACAGTTGAATTTGTCACCATTTTTCACAGTTAAGTGGCTCCGCGGATGCAAATTATCATTTCAATGACATGGCTCACAGAAAAGGCATGTCCAGGGATTGAATGGCACATAGTTTTGAATTTATGAGAAAGAATGTAATGTCAATGTGTAATATAATCCATGTTTATGCTTTTGACTACCAAGGAAAAATTCTTTCTTCACCTCATTCATGCAAATGTAGTCGTTTATTTGATGCAGATTAAAGTACATTAACTCATCAATTCAACATTGTCATGTGTTGCTGTTTAGATCGTAATTTTTTTTGTTAAATCATGTGTACTGTACCCGTTTGAATTTACTTGAGGTGTTTTTTTAATAAACTTTCAGCATAATTTTTCATGGATTCGTAACAACATCGGCATGAGAGAATGCATCCGCTTCACAGAGGCACCAGTGCCAAGAGACAAGCCTGACCCCATGTGAGTATCCCAATATTAGCTTTTGTAGAGAATCAGCTTAAACAATTCTCCTTCGAGCATTGTAATCCTGTATTCACCATTGGCGATGGTATGTTGTGGGCAGACGAGGGTAAAATTACATTGTACGCTTGGTTGTTACCTTTTACTAACACAAAAAATTGATGCGTTCCGTGAATTCTGAACTATAAGTGCATTCTATGTTTAAAGAAAGAAATTGATGTGTGCAGGTTCCCTTTGAGTTATTTATATGTCAAATTTCAACTTTGTAAATTTCATCATTGTGAATATTATTTTATTTTAGACCCGATGACCCGCAGTGCCAGTGTGGCAAGCGACGGTCCTATCACGATCCTCGCTATCAGAAGAACCATGACCCCAAGGCCAAATGGAGAGTGGACACTCACACCCATAACAGCGCCACCAACGCCTACGGGGAGATTGAGTTCATTGGAGCTGCTGGCGCTGGTCTCAGCGTTAAGCTTAGAAAGGTTGGTTTGTGTAGACATGGAGCCATTGTCACAGAGTTGATCAGGAGAAAGTACAGCTTAGCAAAGTTAGATGCTAAGCATAAATGAGCTAGGAACCAGTGATAAGCAATGTACAACAAATGGCAATCTGACTGGCGACCTGTTTTTGCTAAGCCAATATTTTCTATGCCTAGCCAATTTTCATACGTATCGTCTCTATGAAATTGGCCCTCAGGGTCCTTTTCTCAGAAATATGCTAATTTAATGTTTCCCAAAAATAATCCGATAAATTTCCAACAATATCCAAAAATTTTAAGTGGAACTTTATTGACTGCATTCCAGATTCCCAGGAATTTAATTCAGTTCAATTGAAGTTGATTTTATTTCATTTCTATTTCCTCTACAGTATATTCGTGTGGATCATAAAATCCATTCACAGAAGTTGATGGAATTACTCAACGATCACTGGCATCTGGGTACTCCTAAGCTGCTCATCTCAGTCACGGGAGGAGCCAGGGACTTCCCCATGAGTAACAAGCTCAAGAATGTCTTCAGGAAGGGCCTCGTCAAGGCTGCACTCAGTACGGGTATGAAACCTGAAAAATGTATCTCCTTTATGTTAACAAATTGATTGCAGAACTATATATGAAATTGTTGAAATTATATGACTAGCACTAGCAGTAATAATGACTTCACACTTTGTTTACATCCATGTACGTTTCCCTATTGGAGTCAGCTGGGGACGACAGCCTCCAAGTTCCCATATGAACGCATACATGTAAACAAAGCGTTACTGTGCGTGATGTCATTATGTCTCAGGCCTATTGCCAGCCGTATCCAGGTAAATCGGATGCAGCCATACATTGGCCACAATGTATTTTTTTTGTGGAGGGAGGCTTTTGTTATAGCCATCATCAGAGTCTTTGAACACATGCCTTCTCTTGTAGGTGCCTGGATCATTACTGGTGGCACCTATGCAGGAGTCATGAAGTACGTAGGTGAAGCCGTCAGGGATTATGCCTTGCTAGGCACAGCAGCCGGCCATTCTAATGTGGTATGCATTGGCTTTGCGTCATGGGGAGCTATTGATCAACGAGACAAACTCATCGATGATAGAGTGAGTTCCCAATCCATTCATTCCTAGTCAAATCATCATCTTGTCATGTAGATGTACCGTCGCAGTGATGTTGTGTAAACCTAAAAGTAATTAACATGTCCACAAAGCCGTAGATATTTTGGGTTTGCCATCCTTAGTCTTCCAAATCCCTCACTCAGAGTTGTACCCATGATTGCCACAAAATCCACCAGATACTTGTAAACTTTTTATTATTATTATTACTTATGTCTGGTAATGAAACCAAGGATTCCTCAAAAGCACCCCAGGCACTGTAGCTCGCAAGCCTGAAAAAAATCCATCGAGAGGAGACAATGAGAAGAAACTACAGTTTTAGAGGTGGGAGGAAATCCCTAGAAGAATATTCTGGGGAAAACCCACAGAATCAGGCAGGGACTGAAAACCCAATCCGCATGTTGGCCCAGGTGGGATTCGAACCTGGGTCACAGCGGTGAAAGGCGAGGAAAGTACCGCTACCCCCACCTGACTTTTATACAGTTTTAGTCAAGCCTTCACAATTTGTGTCAATTACAAGTCCTCCAATCGCAAGTCTAGCAATAAGCTATCCAAATGACCTATGACACAGGTTGTAGTTCATCCCCTGTTACTTGCAACCTTACTTGTGGTCAACTCATGTCTGTTTTGTTGTCTGACTTACGATTAACTTGTGATGGACTTGACAACAACTCTACCAGTTCACATTATCTCCAAGAAAAATATTGAAGCCTTGGTCTTGACGTCGATGGAAAGATGGTAGTTTACGCTATTCTCTTGTAATATTCGATCACTTCACATTGTCAGCTCCGGTAGGCTACAAAGATATTCACTTTCTATAAAAGTTCTTTGTCTTCTTTTATAGGATTACTCTGATCATCTAGTGTCAGCTAAATATGACACAGATTCACTTCTGTCACTGCCAGGTGGTGAATTCTGTTTTGTGTTGGATCTTGCATGGAAGCATTCAACCATTTGTTTTTGCCAGTTTTACCATGCATGTCAATTTCAAGCAGTTTTTGTGTGTGTGTTCAAACGTTTGAATTATGCGGCCTAATCTATGAACATGTTGCCCTGCTCAAGTGCAAATGCCTTAAAAACAAATCGCATCAGATATAGCTCAGTATTTTGATCAGAGCGTACTGATGGGAACGTCAAGTTTCACAACCATACCAGATCTTTTCAGAACCACAAATCTTCTCAACAGAGATTCTCCAACATGGTGTTACTGTTTACACTACTGACATGCAAAGATTCAAATGTTATTTATTGGATTTTTTTTACATACCAATTTGCTTTGTTGACTGCTAATGCTCTGACGGATATATCTTGGTTGCATGCTCAAAATGTTTAATTTGTTTTATTTTATATTATTTTTTATTGGGAGGGGACTTGACTTTTTGACAGAGACATAAATTTTCCACAGCTAAGGGCTGAGGCATTTTCATGGTGTTTTAAGATTAAGAGAGCCCTCACCATTACCCATACAAATTATTGTCTTGTTGCATGGTTTTACTTACTTTGGAAAGTATTTGACTTCTGAATATTTAGGAGAAGAAATTGTAAGTTGCTTCATGGCTGCTGGTTGCCGATAATCTATAACTTCAGCACTAATCTGCTTGAATTCTGAACTATATATGATTTTCATCGAGAATTGAATTAACATGTTTTGAAACTAATTTAGGTGTTGTAAAGCTCATAATTAGTCAGTAATATTAATGATTTTAGTAATTGATTATCAATGACAATACGTTTTTGTTATCATATAAATATTTTTAAACATTTACAAAATTAACTTTCATGTGATGCATCTATTAACTATAATTCAGAGTAATGTAACAAGTTAATTTTTTTTCGCCCACACAGGGTCGATTTCCAGCTTACTACCGCATGGACACCAAGAAGCCAAAAGGGGTGCTCCTAGACCCAAACCACACCCACTTCATCCTGGCAGACAACGGTACAGAGGGGAAGTTTGGAGTGGAGATCAAACTCCGGGCCAAGATGGAGAAAGAAATCTCGGAGCAGAAAATGTCGGGCGTGGCCAGTGAGTAGCCAATCACAAGCTGGAATGGACCTTGAACATGAATTGACCAATTAAATTGCATCGTTTAGTCAGGTGACCATGGTAGCTCGGTCAAACTCAGTCACAAGCCTCTTGTACACAAACCAATGGACTGGGCTTATCGTGATCTGACCATTACAGTCAGATATTTTCCAGCCAATTTACTGTTTTTGCCAAAACAGAAAATGGGTGTGCAAAGTCAACTGTTGTACTGTAGACGAATTCAAAAATTGGTGAAGGAATTTGGCACTCTGTACTTGACACCTCACAATGGGTTGTCCTCATGTTGTTTTGACCTTGCAGTTACCATGTCGAGTTTCAACGTCTGACAATGCTCCGTCAGTTAATTCCTAATGTGTTCGTGTCTCTCCTGATAATTCTAAGTGTGATTGTTCTAAAATGAGCACTTTTAACATTGTTCAATGATAAAATAAGCAGCGATTTTTTTTAATTTTTTTGTAAACAATACCATTGGATTTTAACCCCTAACGTTTATTACTGACACAAAGGGCTTCCTGTAACATCCAAATTCTAAACAGTCCTTTCTTAAGCAACTGATGGAAAAGAAGCCGCCTCGTCTCCAATAAGATGGATGTAAATTGATACACGGTATTTCATTTACAGTTTAGAGATCCAACATCATTTATTTATCATTTGACCACCTTCAGATGTATCTGTGCCAGTGGTGTGTGTTGTGGTAGAGGGAGGCCCCAACACCATAGCCACTGTCTATGAAGCCATCATGAACGGCACGCCAGCTGTCATTGTGTCTGGAACGGGAAGAGCCGCTGACATCCTGGCGTTTGCTTTCCAGAGGGCGCCATTGGTAGATAAGCTGGTCAAGGACAGTAAAGGAAACATCAAGAAGGAGTGAGCAACTTTTTTTTTTTTTTCTTTTTTTTCTTTTTGGTGGTTTTTGGGTGTTTTTTTTGCATTCCAGAGAAGAAGTTTATCAATTGTTTGTGATTCCTGTTTCTTTCACAGGAAAAGAACAGTGATCAGCGATGCGTTGTCGGTCCGCATCGCCGATATGTTGTGTAAGGAGTTTGGTGAGAAGGAGTTGGACACTCATCTGACTCGTATCAAGGAGATGCTGATGAGAAGACATCTCATCACTGTCTATGAGCTGGGAGGGGGTACTCAACAGTACGATATTGACAGTGCCATCTTACATGCTCTCCTCAAAGGTAGGAAATCAGTGGATCTTCATTTTCAAATTTCAAAAGTTTCTAGTTGTTCATTTGGCCGACGGTTTTCCTTTTATTTGCCTTCCTATCTCACATTTCCTTCAACCCAAACACGAACACTGTTATTTGCAAAAAAGTTGTAAAATAGAAAGTCTAAATGTTCGATAAAGCATAACAGTAATTGATGTGTAAAGGACAAGATGATACCATGTTTGCAGTTTTGTCTGACTTTTGAATGCAGTGCTCTTGGCTCTTTTTTGTGGACTTTCCTACTGTATTTTTTAGTAAATAAATGAAATTCACAAAATATTTCCTGATTCTTAATGTATTTTTATTTTATTTTAGCCAATAAGGGCCAAGTCCAAGACCAGTTACAGCTCGCTTTGATCTGGAACAGAGTGGACGTCGCCAAGCGAGAAATCTTCACTGAAGACAGAGACTGGAAGGTGAAGTGGTTGAGACATTTAGAATTGTGATTGTCAAAAACTAGATGTATAGAGTAATCATAAAAGAAGTACAGAATTGTACTTTCAGAATTGTGAAATGATTACATAATTATAAAGTGATTTGTGGGTAATGTTTTCTATTACAGAAAGGCGAGTTAGACGACGCCCTTCACTATGCCCTGGTCAACAATCAGACAGACTTTGTCAAACTCTTCATGGAGAACGGAGTCAGCTTGAAAGATTACCTGACGGTCAGAGAACTCACCCTCCTCTATAATGAGGTAATAAAAACATCAGTCTGTTCACAATTAATCACCGTGAAAACCCGTTTCAGACCGAGTTTCTAAACTTGCATCAAACAAAGTTATATTAATTATCCTTAAGATTTGAATAAAGTAACTTAAATGTTCCACTTTTTTAAAAAGGCTTCTTTGTTTTGATTGGCAGGTGAAACCAAACACACTGCTATATGAGCTTCTAGAAAAAGCCAGAGGAAAGGTAGGCAAGAAAGCAATGCAGGAGATAGAGTCTTTAAGATGTTTACCACCCTGTGTTAAATTTCTCTTAGCTGACGTATAATTTGAGAAATGGGTTCTGGAAAATCCAAGAAAAGCACCTAAAAATTACTTATTTTTCTTCAAACAATATTCCCATGTCTCTGACATTAAAACTGAAACTAGCAAAGAACCAAAATAAAAAAAAAATCAGAATCTGGAATATTTTTTCACCAAGTGCTTGCAAACAAGTGCTTGCATTTGAAGTGTGAGATCAGACGCATATTTATCGGGGCAAATAAAAATACAAACCACATGATATAAAAAGTTACAGAGACCTTGTAAAATTGACATCTGCTCTTCTTGCGTCCCAGATACTATGAGAAGAAAATTTGTCCTCGAGCTAACTAGGATAGGACTTAAACCCACAGTGTCTATAAATGCAAATGCAGACGTCTTACCACTCAAAATGTATTCTGCACCACAGTCAACTCGCAAGTTCAACCTCTTTGACGTGGGTAAAGTCATCGAGGAACTGACCATGGACACATACGAGACACTGTACATACGGAACCAGGCTAAGTACGTCTTGACGGAAGCTGAGATTGACGGAGAAGATGTCATGGCGGAGGAGGCTTACGAGACAGGAGTAGGGAAGGGATATGTGGTGACGCAGTCCCATGTCAGGGAGGGACTGAAAGAACTTGCTACCAGGTGTACGAGAGGTAAGGAACAGAAACCAGTAGACCTTCCTCTTTAACAAATGAGGGCGCTGTTGCCAAAATACCGAAGAGTGGTATTTTTGGGGTTTTTTTAATAATGTATTACAGTAGACATTTAATATACATGTAATGAACATAAGTAGATCCACAAGAGATTGTTTGATGTAGCAGTCTTTTACTTTAAATAATTATTTGCTTCCGATAATAATTGTTGATAAAATGCCTCAGGGGAGGTGTAGCGGAATGTTCGGTATAGCGTTGTTCGTTATGGCAGCATTATACTGTATAACATGTAACATATTTTTATGTTATAGGCATGTATATATTAAACTGTGTTATTTTATTATATGTAAAATCACATAAAAGAAATTATCCCCATAAAAGGAAATTATTTCTGATATTCCTCTGTTAGTTCCAACTGAATCCAAACCCTTTCTTTCCTCCCTCCCCCCCCCCCCCACAGATGCCCTACATGACTTGACGGACCACTTCCCATCCCCAGTCCGTGAGCTCTTCCTCCTCGCCATCATGCAGAATCGCTGTGAGATGGCTCGCATGTTGTGGGAGGACGGCAACGAGGCGGTGGCCTCAGCACTCACGGCAAGCATGATCCTGAAACTCATGTCCGATAGAGAGGACGACCCAGACCAGAGCGCAGCTATGCTCAAACATGCAGAGTAAGTGTGCCTCTGAGTTTGTCTGAGTAATGAGTTTGAAGCTCCTTATTCAAGATAACTCATATCAGAGTGTGGCGATGCTCAAACCTGTAGCACCAGGTTCGTCTCTAGAGCATTGATAGCTTAATAATGCAACACCGAGTTGGAACTCAGGAGTTTGAAACTCATGAAATATTTAACTCATGAAACTCACAAATATTTACAGTTTTATGCAGAATTATCATTAGATGGAAAACATGGCCGTAGAGAAGATGACTCAGATCAGAGCGCAGAGAAGCTCAGACATGCCAGTTTTAAAATGTACTCAGGGGTTTATCTTCGGAGCTTCGTTTGCTTGAGTATCATGGTGTTGGCAGGTCCGTCACCCGCCCTGAGCATCGGGGGGGAGGGGGGGAGGGGGCATAGTACCAACTGGGGGGCCCACTGCCATAAACAATACAGAAATACTTGGCTTTTGTTGGGGCACCACTTGCTCGCCAAGGGGGGCCCGGCCCCACTGGCCCCCGTGACGGGCCTGGGTGTTGGTGACACACGACTAACGGTGGCTAGGTAGGACAACTCGACCAGAGCACAGCCCCATCACAAGTCGGTCATAATGAACAGGGGATGAGCAATAACAAAGGAATGCCCTATTCACACTTCATTGGAAGAGCCTATGACTTGGGACTGGATGACTTCTGATTGACTTGTGAAGTCTTGTAAATCCTCAATTTGATACCGTTGCCATTCCTGTGCCACAGGGAGTACGAGGAGCTAGCCATTGGTGTGCTGAACGAATGCTACAATGACGATCCTGAGCGCACCTCCCTCCTGCTGGTAAGGGAACAGGACAACTGGGGCAAGTCTACCAGTCTCAGTCTCGCCAAGCACGCCAAGAACAAGAACTTCATCGCTCACTCAGGGGTCCAGAATCTACTGACGGAGATCTGGAATGGGAAGCTGTCGGATGAGAACAATGGCTATTTGGTAAGACGTTTGGACCTAACACTGCTTGAGATGACATGAATGATGAGATTTATGACACAAAGATCAGAGGAAGTTCTCTAAATGTCCTTGTGGATTGGAAAGGCTTGGCCAAATTGTAGCTCGGGAAGTAGTTAACCCCCTCTCCTTATAATGTAAGCTCTCAAAAAACACTGAGTATACAGCCAAAACTAAATATAATTTACCTTGTACATTGCTAAGGTTGTAGCATCCTAACACAGTGACTGCAATAATTTTCCATTGACTGTTATTTTTGGTTTTATGTTTATTGTTTTCCAGCTGTGGCTGTGCATGATCTGTCCCTTCATCATCCCATTCACTGTCATCTTCAGAGAAGATGAGTCCGAGGAAGAGGAAAAACAAGATTGGAAACCAAGACATAACATCGATTTAAACCTCAACCAGGTATGGCCTTGTGCGCGAACAAGAGAGGACAACTCTTTTTACCTCTTTCGAGACCACCGTGGAGGGGGCACGCGGCGTGCCGTACTGGTTCCGAGGCGTATGGTGCAAAATAACACGTTTTATTCTTTGTATTTTATGTGCACAAACGTTATTTGCGCCTTCAGCAATGCGTTAGAATGTCTCTTCCAGTAGTCCCCCAACTCTCCCTTTCTTATCATTGAGGGGGTACATGTGCAGGGTGCCCATGTAGAATAAACACATAGCAGGTACACCTGTAACATCGCCCAGGTCAATTAAATGACGGTGAAATGAGGCTTAGGCTGCATCCTAATCAGCTGTCTAGAGCTAGGTCTAGGTCCGCGCCCATTGAAAATACGCGGGGACGCGCTGACAATAGACGTAGCCATAGCTCTGGAAGCCCGTTTCGGACACGGCCTAATTATGATCAGTTCAAGTCCATCACAAGTCCTCCAGTCTCAAGTCAAGTCACAAGCTATTCAAATGAGCTGTGACTGAGACATTCCTTTGTCATATTGTTCATCCCCCCATACTTCTAATCAGACTTGTGAAAGACTTGTGATTTACTGGTGACTGAACTTGTGATGAACTCCTCTACAAAACCGATTCTGTTAGCCGTCTGGATCTTGTGACACATTTCCATCTACTTGTTCTCCATATGTTTGCCGTGTTATCTAATCAAACCCCAACATAATTTACCACCAATCAATTCTCTTCTGTGATCCTTCCAGGGTTTGCCCTATAATCTGCAAGGTGACAAGCTGGGAGACAGTCTGAAGGTGGTCAAGACGGAAGAACCTGTGACTCTAAGAGGTGGCTCTTCAGCAAGCAATGTGGCGTAAGTTGCCTGCAGTTACAGATGTAGTAGGCTTAGATTTAAACAGAACATGTGTTATAGTAATAGAACTTTGTGATTGAAAGATCTTAAAAATCAAATTTAAAGCAACAAAATTAAGAAATTTTGGCTGAAATTTCATAACAAACTACTAAAAATGTTCCTCAATAATGCCATCCAGGTGAGCTGTACTTTTAACCATCCCAAGAAAAGTTCTTTGAAGTCGTTTTTTACATTTCTTTAATTTTTTTTACTGCTGTAAATAATTAAATTAAAAATAATAATTTAACCCTTGTCTGCCTAGACCTTTCAAAATCCATAAAGAGGCTTTTAGGGTTAGTGGGATTCAGGAAGATAGAGCCTAGCCACATTTGCTTTACATGTGGCTTGATACCACTTCAAACTTAGTAGGCACAAAGAGTGTACCATTGGGTACCTGCAAAGTGGAGGATTTTGTGGGATTTAGGAAAGTAGAGCTCAGCCACTTTTACTTCTCATAGGGCTTAATACCACTTGAAACTTGGTAGGTACAAATATGGTGCCATCAGGTTCCTGCATAGTGGAGGATTTTGTAGGATTGAGGAAGGTTCCTTACATAGTTTCCTTTTGATTGCATATTGTAGTCTGTGTGACCCAGATGAGGATCCTGAGAACGCCCATCACTATGAAGAGACAACGGGCATCGATATCATTGACAGCGGCAAGGAACTGTCCTGGTGGCAACGCTTTACGTTATTCTACGATGCGCCGCTCATCACGTTCAGGCACAATGTTGTAAGAAACTGCACTTTAGAATTCAGTGTTTATGTTCAAGAAGTACTAGGGCACATTTCTGTGTATTTCTTCATGTTTGAGACATAGACAATATGTAAATCACACAGATGTAAATAAGTTTTGTCATCAAATAATAAAAACACTCGTCGAATTTCAGTATTATTTATCAAAGTGTAAAGATTATATAAACTGATGAAGTACCTTTCAGTACTATTAAAGTCTTGTGTATACCAACCCTTAATCTGCTTGTTTTTGTCAAGAATTGAATGAAGACTATTCCTCCTATTTTTCTGTCTTCAGGTCTCATTCGTCTGTTTCTTGGGCCTCTTCAGCTACATCATCCTAGTAAACTTCAAGGAGCAGTGTTCCCCAGCTGAGATTGTCCTCTATGTGTGGGTTGCAACCCTAGCATTTGAAGAATTAAGACAGGTACCGGCATGTCTCCTTTTTTTGCAGTTTTTGCGAGACAAAGGCTAGCCTCGAATCCCCTCCACCTTGGATAAATCCTTGAATTAGAAGAGTCATCAGCCGTTTTTGTCATTTCTTTGTCCGTCCAGATTGCTCAAGAAGAATCCAACAGTTGGCGGATCCGTTTTGTCTCGTGGCTCTCCGAATACTGGAACATCGTGGACCTGGCAGCACTGATCCTATTTGGGGTGGGTGTAGCGCTGCGTTTCAACTCAGCTACCCTGGACATCGCCCGAATCATCTTGGCTTTGGATCTCCTCATATACTTCGTCCGTCTGCTGCAAATCTTCTCCATCCACAAGAACCTGGGTCCTAAGCTGATTATGATCCAACGGATGGTAAGTCCGCAGACTCAGGGGTTGACCTTAACTTTTTTTTTTCACTAGCCAGCCGGGCTACTGAAACAGATTCTTAACTAGCCTGCGGGCATTTTCACTAGCCTGCATGTTTTTGTTTTGTTGAAAGTCTTATAAGCAACAATGTGAATACAATTGTAAAACGGGTATCCTGAGGCAATCTTGTCAGTGTTTTTAATAAACAGATCTAATAATTTAGCCCTAAACAGTTAATAAAATGAGACACTAATTCAGGTTTGCTTTCTAAATTTAATGATTATTTCTTCCTGTCCTTTCATCTTTGCCATAGCCCAATAATTTTTGACTCGCCAGCCGGGCTACTTAAGGAATAGTTTGACTAGGCCGTCGCAGTTTTGACTAGCATTTGGCTAGTGGGCTACCGCTAAGTCGAACCCTGACGACAACATTAGAGTTGTTCTATATCAATCTACGGGGTTGTCCAAATCTTTGTTCCTTTTTCCTGCTTTTATCCAACATTTCTTCCAAACCAAGTTGTATGTTTTTCCCCTTCTACAGATGATTGATCTGCTGTTTTTCCTGTGTATCCTCCTGGTGTTTCTCCTGGGATTCGGCATTGCCTCCCAGGCCATTCTGCAGCCCAACTCATCCAGTTTCGTGGACATTGCCAGGGGAGTGTTCTATAAGCCCTACTTCCAGATTTTTGGAGAACTCTTTCTGGAAGATATATTGGGTAAGTTGGACGTTGCTTCACTTGTCGTTAAGGATTCTAGTCGTCAAGAATTTCTTGTTGTAACTTTTTTGTGTTTTAGGATGTTTATATATGTTAAATGGATATTTTATTGACACTATTAATTTATGAAGTGTTGGAAGCCTTGCAAATAAAACTTTATTTACAGGGAAAGAAAAGTCCCAACTTTGAGTTTTCTTTGTAAGTTGATTTAGTAACATCTACAAAGGCACGTCAACTTTTTTATATGATGCACTGTAGGTAAAGCAGAATTTTGGCAGGTTTTTTTTTCTGAAAAATAAAACTAAGTATATACCAATCAATCAAAGAATCTAAATTGAATACTGGTTTTATTTTGTCCTTCACCGACATATGAAAAATAAATCTCATAAGCTTTCAATACTTGGGACTTTGGGTGGGACCATAGAGCTATATTAAATTACAAGAGCGCTAACTCCTCATTCTTGCGCACTCAGATGCTTTGAAGCCGTCCTGGGCACAGACATTTTGAATTCATGTGTGTGTTTGTAGAACATAATGAAATTAGATGGATTGAATTTTGAGAGTGTACTCTACATGCAACGCGCAAGTAGAACATACGCAAATAACTTAAACGCGTCATGCCAGTTCAAAAAATGTCACGGCGAAATGCATCTGCAGCGAATACGCATACGCGTTGCGCTGTTTGCGTAGAGAAAAAAAGAATTGCTCATTTGCTGATTGTGCGTTTTGGTTTTGGGCGTATCGGCTTCAATGACGCACCGGTATGGAATACAAACGCCAATATGCAAATAGTCGTACAAAAGCCATACAAAATTTCGAGTTTTCCATAGGTTTGTGCACAAACATGGATGCGCCCATCAGGCATCTCTTTGTACATCGAGTTAGCGCTCTAGTAATTTAATATAGCTCTATAGGTGGGACTCGAACCCTCACTAGTAAATTTGCTTTCTAGTGCAGATTTCTTGCAACTTGACCTTGAATTTGAAGGCAAAACCCATATTGAATTACCATCTCCGTGATGCAATATTCAGTCAAAGATAAACGAAGATTCCGTTTGTTTGTGTGCCGAAACAGAGAACGTTGGTTGCGTCGCTGCCGGTAACGCCACCCCCGAATCTGGTGTATACCCCTGCCCAGTGACTGCTGCTATTGGTACCTTACTCCTGTTCTTCTACATGATGCTCAGTAATGTCTTGCTTCTCAATCTACTCATTGCTATGTTCAGGTAAGATAAGCTGGTAGTGCTCTTACATCTTTCTCGAGACATTGTGTATTTTTAAATTATTGTTATTATAAACTCTGGATGTCGTTGCTCCATGGGCCGGCCAAAGATGTGCTGGGTGGACAACATCCCAGAATGGTCAGGGTGTAACACCAACGAACTGAAAGCAGCAGCACTGGAAAGACGGGCTGTGGTGGGAGCGGAGCCAGTGATCCCAACTGTGAATAATTTGAGGAGGAGACCACGGGCAAATGCCTAATGTCTAACGAATGAATGAATGAAACTCTGTTCTTTAGTTCTGGTAATTAAACCAAAGGAGTCCTCAAAAGTAAGGTGCTGTAACTCGCAAGTCTGCGAAAACCTGTGGAAAGAGGACAAGAAAAAAATGTTCAGTTTTAGTGGTGGGAGGAAAATCCCAGCAGTATGTTTTGAGGAAAAACCACAAAATCAGATGATTCAGACCCAAATCTACAGATGGTCTCAGGCAGGATTCAGATCCGGCCGAGGGCAATAAGGTGAGGAAAGAACAACTACATCAATCTAGTTTTGCATTTGGGCATCCCATTTAACACCCAACATTGGTCAAACATTTGATTGCTTCTCTTCCCCTGCCCAGCTACACCTTCTCAGCTGTCCAGGATAACACTGACGTCTACTGGCGGTTCCAGCGCTACGATCTGATCCAAGAGTATTTCTCTCGTCCCCCGCTGGTCCCTCCCTTCATCATCATATCCCACATCTTTCTGGTGGTCCGATTCATGTTGCAGAAATTCTGCCGAGTCTGCCTTCGTTACAGATCCGGCGAGATGAGTAAGTGACATTCATGACAGACTTGTGTTCAAGAGTTGCACCAAACCAATTGGTTTTAAAGAAACCACATAGGCAAACTGACTAGGTGCTTTATTATTATTTTGAGGTCTGAATAGCTAGTGACTTGACTTGAGACTGAAAGACTTGATGGACTTGCAGGGACTTTGAGGACTAGACCACAATACTATCATGAGACCTCTTAAAACAGCCCTTGCTCTTGAAGACAGACAGAGAAAACTTCTAAAACATTTAGATCATTTTCTAAAAGTCAGTTCTTTTCAGAATCACCACTTCTTCACAGACGCAATAAACTTCTTCCATATTGTAAAACTGTAAACCTCTAGATAGCTAACTCATCCACAAATTCAAATTGTTTTTCTTATCTGTAACACTTTCCTGCGGTTTAACTTTGTCTTGCCAGAGCAAAGGATTCCACCAAGCAAAGTCAAGCAGCTGGTTTTGTGGGAGACCATTCAGAGTGATGAGTATATTGTCAAAGAGAAAGCTCTACTGGCTGAGGATATAACTGAACAAGTCAAATCAACCGGCGACAAGTGAGTGTCCTTGATATTTCCAGAACTCCTTAGATGACTATTGTCTGTGTATTGACTCTGTGCAGGAACCACGGATAGTGCTGTGTAGCACTCGCGAGCACCAGTGAAGGGCGTAGCCAAGCAAGCGTTTATTTGCACATATAAGGCGTGAAGTGTGCGTAAAGAATTTTTCATTGTGTGCTTACCCATCTCGTCAGAGGAACGTACCTGAGCATTGCCGCCTTTTAATAATGGCGTTCACGTGTCCTTCAATATTAGTGCTGTTTGTAGTTTTCACCGTTTGAGTCAGAATTTTGCACAATGTCCAGTCCAGCCCAAACTTGGGTCCAATTTCATGGCTGTGCTTACCGTTAGCGAAAAAATCCCTGCTTATTGTAGCAAAATTCTGTGCTCACGGTAAGCGTATTTCACAGGTTAGCGAGGAACTTTGGCTTCTGCGCATGCGTACTTCCTGTAACTAAGGATTGTGTGCTTACAGGGTTAGTGCAGAATTTGTCTGCTAGCGCGGTTAGCGCAGAATGTGATCGTAAGCGGGAATTCTGTGGTTAGCAGAGCCATGAAATTTGGTTCCGGGTCCAGGTAGCTTCTAAGCAGAAAATGGTGCTCAGAAAATTTATATGCTAAGCGAATATCAGCTGAGTACCAGTCGTAAGCAGTGTTCATTGTATGACTTTTGGCTGGTTTCCTCTTTCAAAATAACTGCTTCTCCACTGACCATGGTCATTTGCATTAATGTGAATGTGAATTTTTGATCCAGGGTTGATGACCTTCTTGTAAGGATGGAAGAGCTCTTTGCTGATCCGGAGACAGGCGTTCCGTCAAAAGCTCTGGGACTTCTCGGCGAAAAGGCCATGGAAGAAAGACTCAACAGGCTGGAGGATCAGGTAAGGAGCCATCTGATAAAATAATCACGGAAAAGTTTCAGAGAAATTCCCCCCATGGGCTTTATTGTTATTGTGCAATCAATATTGTGTAATCTTCTCAGTCCAAAAAAGTGTATTGTAATAGTTTCCTTACAGGATTGCCTGGAGTGATGAGTTTTTTGGTTGGGCATAATAAACCCTATCAGGGAAATTTTCTCCACAGGTTTTCCGGGAGTATTATTGAGATTACTCCTGATATCCCAACTGTGCTTGATCGTTCCCACAGATCGCATTTATTCATTTTGTTAGGGACAGTCTGCTTCTACATAGTGGAGTGAGTTGGCATTGTGGTTTTGTTCCGACAGCTCAAGATCTATTGGAAAAACGGGAGATTTAGTGGGTTCGAGTCCAGCCTGTGGCGTTGTGATGTGTGTGCACTCTCTGCTTCAAACATTTTGTCCCCTACTGGTGAACAGAAAAAGTTGTTGTTTGATATAGCTATATTCACCAGAATGGCAGTATGGACCAATAATGAAATGATGTTTTGTATATTTTATAGGCATGATGAGCAGGGGTAATAATGATTTAATTAAAGACGGCCAACATCATGTGTTTAATTCCTACTTTTTTGCTGACTTTTCAACGCAAACCTTCAAATCTTATTATTGTGTTCATTGTCTTGGAGTTTTATACTTCATTATCCAAACTTTATGCAAATATTACAATTGTATGCAAATAGAACCCAGTCATTGAAGGCAATGTGTGTAGCATTACCAATTGATTGAATATGTTTTCCTGCCCAGATGGAGCGAACCAACCAAGCCATTGATTGGGTGATCATGGCTCTCCATGGCAACAAGCTGGGGCACAACGATGGACTACCTGAACTCAAGCAAATTGAACCCAGAAAAGGTAAGCGTTCCGCCCCGCAGTGCAAAGGGGCCAGTGTTGGAGTTGATGACATCATAAGTCGGGTCGTTTACTCATCACAAGTCGATTCACTTTGGCTCTTTCACTGTTCATGTGATTAGCTTGAGACTTGACTTGACAGTAGATGACTGGTGATGGACTTTTTTTTTGATATAATAGGAGTTATTAGGACTTGTAATAGACTTTGACTTCTACACTGATAGGGCCAACATTGAACCTTCAAATTTTTTTATCGGTCTTTTATAGTAGTCAAAGTCTTAGTCTAGTCAAAGATACTATGTAAGTTTGAAATTGTGGAGTAACAGGTGTGTACTCAGTAACTCAGTCAGTGATCCAGTTAGTCAGATTAAAATAGGCTGGCCCTTAAGGTCTAGCAAAAACGTAAAAATCTTCTTTTTGATTTTGCAGAACAAGATAATTTTGACAATGAGGAGGAAGAGAGAAAGGTTCCGACAACCCTAGAGGAACTTGGGATAGCGTTACATCAGAAGGCTCGGTCCAGTCCCTACCCAGGAACTGCCATCCGACGGTTCCTTGTACCTGATGAGAAAGTGCCTTGGGAGGTAAGCCTAGACGACCTTTTCACCCAAGACTTCAACTTTGAATTTATAGTGAACTGCTTCTTTACCTCTGTCATATTTCTGAATGCATTCTCTTTTCTGTGTATTGCTTTACCCTGAGTGACTTTCAGCTGTGTAGTGGGCAACTTCTGTGAAGAAAGACTGGACATCATTTAAAATCCACCAGGAAATTTTGGGAAGATTTTGAAGCATCAGGGAATCTAGAAACCCAGCTACCAATCTGTTTAATACTCGCAACTAAATGCCCTTGAAAAAAACAAGGAATGCGACATATGGGTTTCTGTACAGTAATAGATTTTAGAGGACTCGGGAAAATACCTTGCAAAATGTCTTTGGGAGTTGGGATTATAAATCTTAGAGTTATATTTTTGTATGAATTCTTTTTTTGTTAGGGAAATGTAAACTGAATATTGTGTTTTAGATTTCCCTTGTGTAATTTTGTGAGCACTGTATACCAGTGCTGTCCAAGGTGTTTAGGGGAAAAAAACTCACAAAGATTCCTTGGGTGAGATTCAAACCTACGACCTCCTACTTACTGGTGCAGATGGCTTACCACCCGATCATCCAGTTTGCGTGGGTCGGCTGTAAATGATGTCAATTCAATATGAGGTTTTGCCCTTCATCCCAAGCCCTTGGACAAACCTGAGTTTACAGTGCATATGAAATTACATTGGTGAAAAGCAAGCAATACCCAGTATTGAATCTCTAATGATACATTAACAGTATCATTCTTGGTTTCTCTTTTGTTTTGTGATTTTCAAATTCCAGTGCAACTTTTCAAGTTACAGGCCCGTCAGTTACACCCATTCTCAAATTCTAGACATGCCCCACTACGCCGACATTGATCTCCTCCAGTACAACAAGAAAGAACGACCCATCCTGAACTTCAACTCCTATGACAAGGCGGTGAATCACGATCGCCAGAGCTTCACAGGAAACTATAACATCACGGACGGCATTCCACAGTAAGTCATTGATAAGAAAAAGTACAAAACTTTGCCCATGCAGGAGCAAGTTTGATAAAAGACTATTCATTGACTAGTGGTTGATTTGTGACATAACTTACACCTGTGTACTAATAACAAAGTGTGAACGTGTTTAGTCAAACGATGATCAAAGATCATCAGGAAACGTCTTGGTGCTTGCTCCCTTCTGTCCACTATGAGACGTGTGGGCTGTTGTAGCCAGCAATCCAACCAGCCTTGATAGGCTTGTTGTCGAGACTAGTCCAACCATAGTTGACTAGCCTGGTTTTGATGGACGATTGTTAAACTAGGATTATCGCTCCAACTTGCTCCAGGCTTTGAAGAATGACAGTCTACTATTATTGCTATAACAAGGATACACAAGTCGCCAAATTTTTAACATTAATTTTGGAGTGTGCCATCTTATCATTTTCAAACCTGTGCTCAACTGAGTGATATAACCAATTCATTTTTAAAAGAATAAATTTTCCAAGCATCAAAATATTTTTAAAAAAAATTAAAATAGAATCGGAAACAGAACAGGAACAATTTCATCAAACTTAGATTTTTGCTTTTTGTAGCAGTGTTGTAGTACAGGTTCTTTTCCCCCCTAGGACCCTACATGTATTGATATTAACAGTAATTTAGAAGGAAACAAGTATAACCACTTAATCTATGCTGACTGAGTACTTTGAGAGAGCAGGAATATGAGTGTTCGGACTCATATTACCTGACACAATTAAATATGCTTTGCAACCCAATCCTCAAACCAATAACTACTTTTGTAAAATTGTAAGCAAAATTGTTCAAACTTTTTCTCAGTACCGTAATTTTCGGAATATAAGCCGCGCGGCGTATAAGCCGCAGCACGCAAAAATCTGCAAATTAAGATTTGAAGTCGGCGTATAAGCCACATCGGCGTATAAGCCGCACCGACGGCAGCGGTTTCAATTTTGTAAGACCTCCAAATTCTAGCCAAAATGCTCTGAACCAGTTCCATTTACACTACAGAAGCTATAAAAAGGGCCACAAAAGTTGTATCAAATCATTTACAATCGATACTCTCACAAACAAATGTGGAAATTGATGATGAGAAATAAACACCGGGAATTGCTGCCGGCTGCCCCGTCCGGTCCCCGGCCGTACATCACCTATGACAACATGCCTATGACAACATTTTCCTGCAGCACGTGAGAGAGTATGCAACCCACCGTGATTTTTCCCCATTGCGTGTGTTGTCCGACTGGAGCACTACGTACAAATCTTGCTTTGAGGCAACAGATGCTGATTTGTTTTGTCCTAAAAATATACAGGTCCGTTTTTATCTCAAAACTTATCAAATTTTTGTGATTACTAACGAGCAGTATTCAAGTTTCGATCGTAACTTTCTTCGAAAATAGTCAAAACGATGCTGCCATTTTCATGGACGAATCCATTGATTTTGTAAGGGGTGATGTAGTCCCTGTTTTGAGGTTTACATCGTTTCTTGAATACATTTCAAGTACAAAAATTATATTGTGAAGTTGAACAACTGATTATCGACTAAAGAAATGTTTCGGACACCATAAAAAGTATGAGTCGCCTTTTTTCCTTTTTTTAAACAGCGGAAATGTTGGTAATTATTGTTTCTAAGATAGTGCACCCCTATATTACCTCAAATGGTGTGGTCCACTGGGGAAAGCCAGCACTGCACTAGATAGAATCACATACGGCTTGTTGCAAGTGTCGATCGAAGACAGCTTTCACCGTACTTTTTACCGCTCGGCACCAGCTTTACGTGGCACGTGGTTTCGGTTCGTTAATGACTTTCTTAATTGATTCATTTCAGCAACATATCTCTTCTTATACCAGTACATGTACATTAAATACACATGTGAATTTCATTTTTATTCTTCAAGGCTCGGCGTATAAGCCGCCCTGTGTATAAGCCGCAGTAAACATTTTCATGGGCAAAATCAACGTATAAGCCGCGGCTTAAATTCCGAAAATTACGGTAATTTTTTTACCACTTATTTCATTAAAAAGTTATCCTGACGTTCAGGCAAGTAGACACAGGTCTTTCATGCAATTCTCTGCAATACTCCCTCCTACTGCCTCACAATGTTTCCTCTAACATGCCTTATCTTTATCCGTCTGGTTTGTTTGTCACTAGGAACCCACGAGGGAGGACGGGAATGATAGGCCGTGGGTTACTGGGACGGTTTGGACCCAATCACGCCGCTGATCCAATCGTTACCAGGTACAAACTCCGACGTTGTGCTGGACCTCAGGGATATGTTTGGAAATGGCAACCTTGCCCTTGAGACACATTCTGCCAGGATTGTCAGAATTGAAATGTCGCACCATGTAACTTTATGATTTAACATTTGCACCTGTCGTAAACACAGAGAAGCATTTTTCCACATTTTGTAAAAAAAAAATCTGTTTAAAAACTGTGCGTTTTGGTGAGTAACTTTGATGTATAATTTTGGCCCCAATTTTTAGGTGGAAGAAGAATGCAGATGGATTTAAAATGGAAGACAATGGCCTGATGGTTCTGGAGTTTATTGCCATACAGAGGAAAGATAACCAGCAGTGGGCCATACCGGGGGTATGTAGGGGTACCAGAGGGGTACAGGGTGGGGTGTATGGGGTTCATAGAGGGGTACAGAGGACATGGAGTTTATTGCCATACAGAGGAAAGACAACCAGCAATGGGCCATACCGGGGGTATGTAGGGGTACCAGAGGGGTACAGGGAGGGGTGTATGGGGTTCATAGAGGGGTACAGAGGACATGGAGTTTATTGCCATACAGAGGAAAGACAACCAGCAATGGGCCATACCGGGGGTATGTAGGGGTACCAGAGGGGTACAGGGTGGGGTGTATGGGGTTCATAGAGGGGTACAGAGGACATGGAGTTTATTGCCATACTGAGGAAAGACAACCAGCAATGGGCCATACCGGGGGTATGTAGGGGTGCCAGAGGGTATGACAACTAGCATTTAGCAAAACCAGGGCTGTGGAGGAGTACTGAAGGGGTACAAGGAAAGGTGTATTGGGCTACAGAGGGGTACAGGGGATATGAATTTTGTTTTATACAGAGTAAAGACGACCAGAAATGGGCAATACCATGGTTACGTATGGGACCACATAAGGGGGTACGGGACTTCACATAGACATGTGTTGTACAGGTAGCCGTAGCCAAACACCATATAATTGTGTTTGGTCTTTTTGCAGGGCATGGTTGAGCCAGGGGGCGTGGTCAGTGAGACACTCAAGAGGGAGTTTGGTGAGGAAGCCATGGGATCAATGGAAAAGTCACCAGAAGAGATTGCCGCCATTCATAAGAATATTGAAGAACTTTTCCAGCACGGCGTCGAGGTAAAGAAGACAAAACCCCCAAATAAATAAAAAATATCTCGTCAATTGCTTTTTAAGACTTCAATAAAAATTTTGATTTTTTTTTTTCAGGGATTGTAAATGTCAGAGGGCCGGACGTTTTTGAACCTGGTAGACATATTTTCAGAGATTTAAGCTCATAACAAAAACAGCAAATTGCACCAAATATTAGTGAACAATCCCTGCCCCTATCAGTATCTAATACCCTGCAAAAGCCTTCCTAATGTAAGTTGTCGCATTTCTTACTGTTGTGGCAAAAAAGACAAATTCAGGCAGAAGCTTGGGAAACATGGCAAAATACAGTCACGATAATTTAAAACATGTCCCTCAATTCTTCCTTTGTCACTTATGCAGGTGTATAAAGGTTATGTGGATGACCCGCGTAACACTGACCATGCCTGGATGGAGACTGTGGCTATGAACTTCCATGATGAGGAAGGAACGTCAGTAGGTCTACTGGAACTACAGGTGAGAAGAATACAGAAATCACTATTGTCTTTGTCATTGCTTTGTCACTCAGATTCTGCCTCTTGACTCAATTGAATCCTGTGAAGTTATCAAGTTATCTTTTTTTTTCTGCTTAAACAGGCCGGTGATGATGCGCAGGGTGTGCGATGGCAGAGAGTCAGCTCCAAGATTCCTCTCTTTGCTAGTCACCAAGCCATGCTCAGGAAGGTAGCTGAGCTACACAACGCTGCCTTCTAGATTTGAGTCACAGGATACAGCCTTGTGGAGCTAGGTATCAAAGACAATGACTGGGGCGTCGTGTCTACAACAGCAGTAGTCAGCTCCAAGATTCCTCTCTTTGCTAGTCACCAAGCCATGCTCAGGAAGGTAGCTGAGCTGCACAATGCTGCCTTCTAGACCCAAGTCACAGGATTCAGACTTCTAGACTAATCTGATGTAAATAAAGTAATCTTACAGAACAAAATTACAGCTTTTAATTTTGTACAAGTGAAACAGTATTCTTTTAACTAGTCCATAGTTGCTTTCTTGTTTTGATGGACCTATATTTCACTCATTCAACCAATAGGCTTTCGTCTCTCAGTTTGATATTTTGTACAGATTCTGTTTAGATGAAGCTCAGTAAGCGAATTTGGTAATTTAACTGCACTGCGCACAATGATATGAGTCTCGGGCTTATTCAAAAATAGATGTAAAAGACTTACAATAAGCATGAGATGTGGTGGACCCATTTAGAGGGCGTTATTTGGAGTAGGTAAATGCTTTTGTTTTTACCAAAATTTACTGCTTCAAATTGCGCCTCCTATTGTGTTCGCTAAATCTCACAAAAACCAACTACCTTTTACTTGTTTACAAGATTTCTAAGCTAAGTTTGAGCTGAAATAAGTGTTTATAGTGTGTGACTGTCTTTCAAGAAGTTAAAAGAAAGCTTCTTTGTTTAACATGCAGAGATATTCTGTTATGTGTGTGATCTCATCACCTTGATTTGTAGCAATTTTTGTGCAAAGTTGTAGCATTGATTAAAGGGATATTGTGATTGGCTCAGCACCAACATTAGTACCACTGGAAACCAATCAGATGTGTCCATACAAATTAAAATAAATCATGTGCCTTATAGACAGTGTAGTTGTGATCATTCTTTGAAAAATTGTAAACTTAACTGATCTCAGATGAAAAAGTATTTTTGTAAATAGCATGACAAATTTGAGATGTAGAGTTGTGAGAATAAATGAATTAAGTTGATATTTGATGTATTTTTCTGTTAGCACCTTGTGAAATCATCTCGTTGTGAATTGCACTTAGTGTAATCTTTTTCAGATCGTTTTAACTTGGAACATCCAGGTCTGTGCAACGTTGAATTGTCATGTACTTATCAGGTATATACATGTACGCATATTTTAATTAAATTATAGATTATTTTTCCATCCAAAGAGTTGAATTGAATTTGATTATAGAAATGAGAATTATATGTAAATATAGCGTTATTCGATTTTGTTATGTAAAATGTTCACTATCCATATATGAATTGTTTTAGTCTTGTTCTCTTGTGCAATAGGGTCCAGTTGGAAGGGTACTGGTATTGTTCTCTTTTTTTTCTTTCCATTTCTGTGTGTGTGTTGTGTGCGCTGTTTTGTTTTCTCAATTAGTAAACAACAAACATGTGCCTGTTGGATATTGAAAAATACAAAGAATTTAACATTTCTGCTGTTTTGAATGGGTAATGCAGTTATCCAATGTACATCAAGGACTTTGGGAGATGGCTTTAGTGTTTATCGTTTATTAAGTTCCAAAAAAAATGTTGCATTTTGTTTTCACTGTGTTCTAGGAAGCTGTGACATGAAGTATTTTAAACATTTCTTTCTCATTTGTCTTTCAATATTTTCCATTTGTTGCAAAATCATGGTTTTGAAATAAATACAAATTAATTTCTTCATTTCGTTTTCACTGTGTTCTAGAAAGCTGTGACATGAAGTATTTTAAACATTTCTTTCTCATTTGTCTTTGAATTTTTCCATTTGTTGCAAAATAATGGATTTTAAATAAATACAAATTATTTTCTATTCAATGTTTATATTCCACATAGTGTACATTTTACATACACCATTTCCTCGAATTCACCTAGAAATATTGGTAACTATTTTGTATCGTAATTCAAAACCAAATTCAGACAAACTCAAGTAGTTTTTTCTTATGAACATAAGCGTGCCTTGAATGAATTGTCATGTGATTTGACTAGGTAATACAGTGAGATGTTTGAAGTGAGCTTGACTAATTAAAAACAACTGTCATTAAAAGCGAGTTAATATCGACGTTTTCTCTTTATATTTTTCCTGTTTTTAATGTTACAGTATTGTTTGTCATCTTTTCAGAAAAGTCATGCTCGCTGTTAAATTAATGCGGTGGTCTTCGGAATATTGCTTCGCTGCCGAACCAATCATAAATTTTAATAACGTTTAATGAAACGAGATGTCGACCCTCCCCCGGTAAGTGGATCGGTTTGCATAGTTTATGTATCCATCTTAATTATGTGATCCTGTCTTGTTACGCTCCAGAAGTCACCATGGTTGAACGCTGGCGGGCTTAAATTTGTTTTGATGGGGAATATATTGAAAGAATCAATTTTTCCAGACATTGGAACTTTTAAGATTGACGATAGCTGGAGACCAGTTGACATTACGACGGAAACTTTGTGAAAATATCAGCGCTTTACGTCCACTCCTGATCCTGGCGGTTTGCGTTGTCTTTAAATTGAATTTTAAACGCCTGAAACTGAGATTGTGTTAAGAATTTGGCTTGGGCGGGGCCCGCTTCTCTCTATCCCCGGGATTTATGCCCCTGAATGCAGGTTTTTTTTCTTTTTACATCGGGGAAATAATCTCGCTAGCCTCCGCCCCGGTTCCGATCACATCAGTACGGCTACGGCGATTTCAACTCATGGATTTAAGCTACTTCAAGCAAAAGTGCCCCTTTCTAATTTCGGTTGAGAAAATTTTTTACTTCGTGAAAGCTTTAACTTTGTCCAAACTAAACGAGAACATCGTGGGTAATATTTTATGTTTAAAGTAGACGTGAAAATAATCCGTAAATTGCAACGATCAGCTAGCTGATAATGCTTCACGCTAATTTATTTAGGACCAAACACTGCTACATCAAGTGCAATCTTGCTTTTTTTTTGTTTTATATACGTTGTTTTTGATATTTACATGAACATTTTAGCGTCTCGACTCAAATTTTCACAAACCCTCGAACTCTTGACTTCAAAAATGTGTTGGTCTATTCTCTTCTTAGATATAGGCCTACGTAGGCATCAATCAGAATATAGCCAATGTCCTTGCACACAAGTCCACAAAATATCTTGGCCTTACAGTTATTTCTCTCCGATGTTAGGCAACTTTTCCCTGGCCTTTTCGTTTTATATACGTAACAATGAAATTTAATCACGTCTAAGTACGGCAGTGTTTTTAAACTCTTCTCCAAAATGTTTGGCTGTACAGTTAATTATTTGTCTCTGAAGCGTGTTTTCCAGATGCAACTTCCAATTCTACATGGCATTTTCGTTTTACATACCAAACTATGACATTTAAAGATGTGCAAATGTCATTGCCGTACAGTTATTTCTCTCCGTAGATAGCGAAGTTATCCATCTTGGCGAACTGGGAGTGGTCCGCTTCGAAGCGAGTGCTGTTGTTGAGTTGGCACAATTTTGCTCCTCCGCCACGGGAGTACAGTAAGTTGAAGGAAAGACAGCCGGGATCGTAGGCACAACTGGCGGCACAAGACTTGACACTGCTCACCGTGAACTCGCGCCGGGTGTAGCCCACGAGCTTAGCGCCCAGCAGACGCCACGGCTTCAGACTGACTTGAGGACCCTTGCAGATGCTCTGATGACTTTGAGAGCATCTCACATCTATCCAATGTCCAAGAACGATCTCCGCACAATTTTCCGCGACCCCGCCGTTCGGTTCCCTATCCGTTCCGTACTGGTCCAAGCTGAACTCGCCCCCGTTGTGGCAGACCCAATCACCCTCGGTTTCCATGTCATTACAGTTGATCCACAGCCTACCGCCGCTGATTTTACTCCTTATGTAGTTCAGCTCTGCCAGGGATGATGGGGCAGCCATGTCAGCGTTCATCCCTCCACACATCGACCGTGACTCCAACCAATTCAGCTTCTCCGTTTTCATTTTGTAACAAGAGTCACCCCAGGGCTCCCAGTCAGCCGGGCACTGGTCCTCGTGGTTGCAGGGTTGAGCAGAAATCATACCGACGGTGAATAAGATGAACAAGACCAACTCCACACCTTCCATCCTCGGCTATCTACCACTGTCACACTAGGCATACAATGATGAAAGGCCTTAATCTGGCCAGAAGATGGATGGTATCTACAGGCCTATAATGTACCGATCCAGTAAGCACCGCCCCATGGTATTCTGACCAATCACAGCCGTGATTTATGTCCGACATGCGTGCACAAAAGTCCGACATGCGTGCACGCGCGCGTATGGCGCGGCAGGAAAATGCAGTGTGGCATTGGAGAGGAGCACGTGTTAATTTGCCCACGTGCGCACTGGGCGGGGCTTACTGGATCGGTCCAATGGCGTGTCCTTGGCCCTGACCAATGAAATACATAAAAGTGCATGGATTGGGAGTTAAATAAGGTCTTGATTGACTGCGATCGCAAGTACAATAAAATTACTTCTCACGTGAAGAGCGGGTTGGAGTCATGGTGACAAAATGTTGCCATGACTACTTGGCAATAGAAACGCCTCCGTATCCGTCTTAATGACGAATTCAGGATTGATTTTCAAAGGGCTCGCCTAATCTGTGGAATCTAACAAGATTTTGTTTTGTTTAGAGGGGGAAGGGGTGAGATGATGAGATGATGAAGTCAACAGATTCATTGTGTCACTCAGAGAAACAAAAGAGTCGAAGCAATTAAACCACGGATGACTTGTTCCGGATTCTTAAAATGAATTCCGTGTGAATTCTTCATATAGGTGTACGTGTCCACGGTCAAAAATAACCGATTTTTTTTCTCTTCATTTGGTGTGATGAAAAGACTTTGGGATTTGGTAGGCATAACCAAAATCGATATTTTAAATCCTTATCAGACATATTGTCGTGCTAACAGCCATGATGTGTTGTAGCAATTTTTGGCAAATTTAGGGACTGCAAAAATGTATGTTCGCTTTCTTTTTTAAAGCATCTTGAAGTGTGAAATGCTGTACAGCAGTAACTATACAAAGCATCACCCTTAACCTTAAAACATAAAACTTTTGTTTGAAAAACATAAAACAATTTTTAAAATTCATGTTTATATTATTTTTAGACCCTGCAATACAGTGTGTCTTTAAAACTTGCAAACTTGTATTTTTTTATCCCATTTTTACCCCTCAAAATATTCAAATTAATACAGACATTTTCCTCAGTTTTGCTAATATTAGGTCAAATTTTGGTCCTCTAGTGAGAAAACCTTTGGATATTGTATACATGTACTCTTTTTGCAGCAGCACCCCAAATAATGGTTATAAAAAAACCTAAAAAGTATTATTTATATGAGGTTTTTTTTTCATTTGTCTTGAGTTTATCATGTATGAAGCCGGAAAAAAGCACGTGTTAGAAACAAAAGCACATTGTGCAGTACTTCTAAACCAGTGGATGAAGAGGCAAGCAGTATAGTGTCCTCTCCCTAGACCCCGCCCTCCCCCTTTACTACTAACATTCAGATGTTTTCAATTAGACTTGGGACAAGTCGCCATGCATGCGTGTTTTGTCCGTGCATGGGCGTCCCCAACTTATTTACTAGCACGCGGCACATGTAATACTAATAGGTATCGCTCTAATATTGGTATCGCCCTATCGCAAGAAAAAATCTTCATTTTTTTTGACTTGCGAATGGAAATGAAAGCAATGACATAACGCAAATACGGTGTATGACCGTCTAGTTTCAATTCGCATAACACTGAAGAAACTATAAATTTCGTCAGTCATGAGGTTTGCTCTGCTTTATTTCACAACTTAATTATGGAATATAATATTATGACTGGATTATGACCAATGAATGGGAGGTTTGTGGTATTAAACACATTGTGAATGGTATCTCTTTGTGAGTTGTGTGGTTCTGGAGTGACGCAGATTGATGACGTACCAAAACGCTTTCCTAAGTTTCCAACCCCCACAAACAATCCAAATCAACCATGACATGAACTTTCAACTTTTATATAAAAAAACTAATGCCATTGTTGAAATAGGGAAAAGGCCTTTTCATTTTGATGAAAAAGGGAGTGCCTCAAAAGGTATTTATTGGAAAGCAGCGAACCGTGTTTGAGTCAACAGGTTATGTTGATATTGGACAAGATCAACGCGGCCAGGCCCTAAAGGTATCCTTCGATTGATGTATTGGAAGTTCTCCTCGGTCGTGTTCCACCACAAGGTTGCTACAGTTCTTTGGGAGTAGCCTACAATTGCAAAGACGTAAGTAGAACCTGTGCTTAAATTCAAATCACTCATGTACTTTTCAGGTTACGGAGTTTTAAACACAACCGCCGTTTTAAGGTTCTTTCCACGGAATAAAATTCAGTTTTCTTTCAGCAAAACGAAAACAAATCACATGAGGATGTGTGTTAATTGTTTTCGTTTTGCTGAAAGAACACACCTTTTTTGTGATCCTTGGACAGAACTTTAAAACGGTGGTTAAACTCCGTAACTTGAATAGTACATGAGTGATTTGACTGAGTCTTAAACTAAAAGAAAGCTTATGAATTGGGCTTTCATATCCTAGATTTTGAAAGTGCTACATGAAGAACTTCACTTAAACAATAGTCCTGACACTTGGGTTTCGCTTTCTTTTACTCACCCTATAGTGATATACGTTAAGCTCACAAAGCGTCATCCAAGAACCAGATATAATATAGCTTACAAAGAATTTGAACCCAGACGGAATGGCACATAAGTTTCCATGAATCTATATTTTTTTCATCTTTCTTTTTTGGTCTTAATTCAGGATGAACTTGGTGAAGTTTTACGGGACTCTAGTCTTGTGCCTGGCTTGCCTCACTTTGGTTCTTGGATTCAAAGGTAGGCCTATATAGAATTCACGGCTGCTTTCAGATTTGTGCAGACTTCAGATTACATGTCTCGTTTTTGAGATGAAATGAAATAAAAAGTGCATTCACAAAGTTGGACATAGCTGGGTTTTATCTCTTTTTAAATTTTCTGCAAAAACAATAAACAATTGACTTTTAATGTTATTGATTTTATTTATCTTTTAAAAGATACCTATCGGGAGCAGAGTCAAGATTCCGGTAAA